GGAATTTGTATGCCACTTCTTAAGTTTTGCAGCTCATTCTGATGACCCCGGAGGCTTGGGAACCACCGGGGCCAGAGGGCTGGCTCAGGCCAACGGCAGGAACGCTCTGAGCCGCTGCCGTCCTCAACGGGGTAGGAAAGGCAGGGCCAGGCAAGCGTCCTCGTACAGTGTAGTCTGTAGTGTAGTGGGTCATTCCATGTCACACTGCCGTTGGCCAGGAGACCTGGTGGGTGCAGGACAGGATATCAATAGGGTGAGACACGGGGTGGGACCCGGCCCCACAGCCCCCTGGTGTCTCGGACAGAGCTACCACTCCCTGCAGCAACTCGTGAAGCTGTCCAAGCTGGAGGTACCGCAGAGCATCAGGGACGTGATCGAGCCGATCAAGGACAATGATGATGCCATCTGCAACTATGGCATCGATCAGGCCGTGAGCCTGTGCCAGAAGCTGCTGGCAAGTGGTTTGGTGCCAGGCCTGCACTTCTACACCCTCAACCGCTTGAAGGCCACCACCGAGGTGCTGAAGCGCCTGGGCATGTGGACGGAGGAGCCCAGGTGAGGCCAGCGGCCCCGAGTGCAGGCCCAGGAGCCCCAGAGGCAAGGCAGCGGGCAGGAGGTCAGAGAGAGGTCACAGAAAGCATGTGCCCTGGCAGTGCCGGCCGCCCGGGGGTGCCGGGGGCGCCGGGGGCTGTCTGCCAAGGCTGTCGGCACACTCAGGGTTCCGGTCTCGGCACGAAGTTCCTGTGCACCCCAAAGTTACCAAGTCAGGTGGAAGAACCCAGGCTCGGTGGGCTCCTGCCCCCTGCCCCCTCCAGCCAGCCCCTTACCCTCCCTGTGCCCGTTCTCACCCAGGCGTCCCCTGCCCTGGGCTCTCAGTGCCCACCCCAAGCGCCGGGAGGAAGATGTGCGCCCCATCTTCTGGGCCTCCAGACCAAAGAGCTACATCTACCGCACCCGGGACTGGGACGAGTTCCCCAACGGCCGCTGGTGAGGCCGGCACGCGGTCCTTTGCGGATGGGGCCGATGGCTTGGGAGGCGGGCGGCAGGAGGAGGTTGCACGCTTACCTGACCCCTGGGGACAGGAGTCCCAGCAGTGGTCCCCTCGGCAGTGTGTGGGACAACTGTCTGCCGGGAGCTCGAGGTCTGGAGGGTGCCTTGACCTCTGGGTGCGTTCTGTGCCAGGGGCAACTCCTCCTCCCCGGCCTTCGGCGAGCTGAAGGACTACTACCTCTTCTACCTGAAGGGCAAGGCCCCGCGGGAGGAGCTGCTGAAGATGTGGGGGGAGCAGCTGAGCAGCGAGAAGAGCGTCTTCGACATCTTTGTGTGCTACCTCTCGGGGGAGCCGAACCAAAACGGCCATCCAGTGAGTGGCGCTGGCAGGCACCCCCGGCCCCGTCTCCCTGTGGTCCCTCCCTCCCTGGCCTGGCCGTGGCATCTCAGCAAAGGGAATCCCCACCTGAGGGTCCGGAGGGGCTTACGGAGGCAGAGACAGGCTGGATCTCTGATGGCCCGAGGGAGGCAGGGACCCAGGCTGCCAGGTCCGATTGTCACCCCAGCCCGGTCCCCCCCCCCCCGCAGGTCACCTGCCTGCCCTGGAACGACGAGCCCTTGGCAGCCGAGACCAGCCTGATGAAGGAGGAGCTGCTGCGAGTGAACCAGCGGGGCGTCCTCACCATCAACTCCCAACCCCGAGTCAACGGGGAGCCTTCCTCCGACCCCGTCGTGGGCTGGGGCCCCAGCGGGGGCTACGTCTTCCAGAAGGTGTGCGGCAGCCACCCCACCTTGACCGGCACCCAGGGGCCCTTCGTGCTGAGCGGTGGCGGATGGGCTGGACCGGCTGCTGGGCTTCCCAGAACCCTCCAGTCTGCGACAAGGGATTACAGGGCCCGCCCTGCAGGATTACGGGCCTCAGAGCGAAGGAACTGAAACGCACCCAGTTTAACCTCCGTTCACACCCAGCTTAACCTCCGCTCACACCCAGCTTAACCTCCGCTCACACCCAGCTTAACCTCCGCACGTGCACAGCAGCTGGTGCCAGAGAAGCCCTCGAAGCCCCGGCACCGCCCCGTGGGTGGGCGGCGGGAATGTGGCAGGCCTCTCTCACCAGCCTTCGCTGGCCAGGCTGGGCCTCCTCCGCGGCTTCTGAGGCGGCTTCTCCGGGGCCTTCCCCAGCTGGGAGCGGGGTGCAGCGGCCTCTCCGCCCTGTCCAGCTGAGAAATTCCACGTACCCACTCCGCCCCCCCCCACCCCGGTTGGCATGTGTATCTGCCGACTCCACAGTCGTATCCGATCCCTGTGGCCGGCGCTCGTCCCGAAGCCTTGTGTCCTACCACGCCTGTGCACACGGGCCCCTCCCTGGGGATGGTGAGGGGCGGGCGTCTGACCGGTGTCGCCGAGCACCGAGGAGGCGGCCTGCGGGGACCTGGGGTGGCGTGACGGGCACCTGCCTCCCCCACAGGCCTACTTGGAGTTCTTCACTTCCCGGGAGACAGTGGGGGCGCTGCTGCGGGTGCTGAAGAAGTACGAGCTCCGAGTCAACTACCACATCGTGGACGTGAAGGTGGGCCGGCTCGGTGGGGAGGGGTGGCCCAAAGGCCCCCACGGTTCCGCCCCCACTGGTCAGGTGTTGCGTCCTGGCCCCGGCCGATCCTTGCGCTGGACAGACAGGAGGACATAGGCAGGCCCCAACTCAGCTCCCCGTCTAGCGAGGGAGGCCCGTCGGTGGATCGTTAGGTCCATACAGTTCAGTGTGGGATGCTCGGGACCCTGGGAGGTCACGGAAGCTCCTTGGAGGGTCCTGTGTGGCCTCAGTCTTTAAGGATGAGGAGGCGAAGGGCATTCCTGGCAGAGGCATCGTCTGCAGGCCTGGGGGCGTCAGAGTGAGGCCGACGGGAGCCGGGGTCTCCGTGGTCCTGTTTAGAGTCTGGGTTTTCCCCGAGGGGTGGGGGGAGCCTTTCCCTGCAGCAGAGGGACTTGGCTCTGAGTCTGATCTCAGGCGGGTCCCAGTGGACAGCTGATGACTGGCGTGGTGGGAACACGGGAGCCAGAGACCCAGGGTGGGGTCTTGAGTAGAGGAGGGAGGTGTGGCCGGGCTGGACTCGTGGGAACGGACTGGAGAGGAAGCGGACGAAACTCCTGGGTGTGGCGCTGACGGAGGCCCAGGGAGGGAGAAGGAAATGTCCGGGATGGCCTTTAGGTTTCGGTTTACGGAGTGGGAGGGCGGGGGCACGCAGGGTGTGGAGGGCGGGCGCTCTGGGCAGTGAGAAGGCTCTAGCTGTTTCTGCCACATCTGCTCTGACCTCCCCTCTCTCCCCACCCCCCACCCACAGGGGGAAAACATCACCAATGCCCCTGAGCTGCAGCCCAACGCTGTCACGTGGGGCATCTTCCCCGGGCGGGAGATCATCCAGCCCACCGTGGTGGACCCTGTCAGCTTCATGTTCTGGAAGGTGAGGGGGCTGGGAGCCAGCCCGCCCTGCCCTCATGGGAAGCCTTGGACAGGCAGTACGGCTGGGTCCCCAGGGTGTCGCTGGAAGCCACACTCCCACAGCCGCCAGCCGGGGCCCTTGTGGCTGCGTCACAGTTTATTCCCGGGCAGGGCGGTGGGAGGCGGCCCTGGCCACGGGCCTGATTCTATTCTTGGGAACGTGCTGTCGGGCTGTGGCAGAGGCTCTGCGGCGCGGGGCGGGGAGCCCTGACCCAAGGGCAGCCCTGCTGACCTTGCCTGTGTGTCTGCACCCGTGTGTGTGTCTGTGTGTATGGCCGTGTCTGCGCCTGCGCTCCCGGGCCCGTGCAGGACGAAGCCTTCGCCCTGTGGGTGGAGCGGTGGGGCAAGCTGTACGACGAGAAGTCCCCGTCCCGTCGGATCATCCAGCACATCCACGACAACTACTTCCTCGTCAACCTGGTGGACAACGAGTTTCCGCTGGACAGCTGCCTGTGGCAGGTGCTGGAAGACACACTTGAACTTCTCAACAGACCCACGTCGGAATGAGAGGGTTACTAGCTCCGTGACCTTGCACCCCGGCACCCTCAGCTCGGGCCAATCACGTCCCTCCCACCTTTCTCCTCCCGGGGACTGGTTCTCCTGGGGACACCTGTCTTTGTCCCTCCCCAGGCCCGGGCTCCACTCCCCCGCCTACAGCGGAAGCTAGACCGGTGCGGGGCTTCCGGGCTCCGGCTGGACCTGAGTCCGCCCCACGTGGGAGCCTGGTGCTCCCTGCTCAGCTGGGAGATTTTGCTCTTTCGTGGGGAGCGCCTCCGCCCTGCCGAGGGCCGCAGTGGGTGGGTCACCGCCTCCCCAAGAAGGGAGGAGACTGGTTATTGCTGACTGAGCCGTCTGCTAGGAGCCAGCCCGAGACTGCCAGTGACCTTACACTTGGGGCCTGGGGAGACGGGCAAAGCGAACACGGGCAGCGGGCACTGGTGGTGTTGCCAAAGAGCTGTGGCAAAATGAAGATGTCGCCCCCTTCCACCTCCGAGACGTTGGCAGCCGGGCACTTCCTCCTTGTGTCCGGGGAGGCGGACACTCCCTGGCCCCAGGCCCCTGGCGGGTCAGGGACCGCAACCTAATGACACAAGCATCTCTTGCCACCTCCCACCTGAGAGCTCCGCTGGGCCTTCTCCGCTCTGCAATGCTGCTGTTTGAAACAGTTCTCTCTGGATTCTGGTGGCTCAAGAGATAAAGTACCTCTTAAAGTGTCCGAACCTTCGTGCGTGGCGTAGCCCCCGGCCTCCCCCCGCCCCCCCCCCCCGCATTACCACCCGGGGCAAAGGTGAGGTTGCTTGAGCAGGGCTTGTCTCTGCCTCTGGGGTTAGGTCTCTGCACTCCTGAGGGCCTGCACTCGTGGGACAGTAGGGCGCAGTTCCCCCCGCCCCGGGGAGGCTGTGCTCGGCTCCCCCGCACTCGGTCTTAGCCGGAAGGCCAGAAGCGATGGGCTCCGTTCGGATGTTCTTTCCAGGGAAATAAGTCACAGCTGCCGCTGGGCCCCTCCTCCGCCTCAAGGCCACCACACGCAGGGGCTCGGGCAGCTGCCAGCCCGCTCCCGGGGCTCCCGACGCCCACCTCCCTCGGGGGCTTCAGGCTGCTTGCTGGTGGCTCTTCTCCGCAGGCCCCTGGTGGCCTGGTTCCGGTGCCACTTCTCAAAGGCCTGGGATCAGGGAGCGGGGAGGAAGGGTTACTCAGCTCCCTCCCAGGCCTGGGTGGTGTGTGCCAGGCTCACGCCTGTGTCCAGCTCCTGTGCCTTGAGGGAGTAAGGTCCCTCCTTCCACCGCAGGCGGGTAGGCAGCCAGCCCTGCCCCAGCTCAAATGCATCGGCTCAGACTAGACCCACTGACCAGCCGGTGATCTGGCAGCCGTGCCCAGAGCTGTCAGGGAAGGGACACTCAGGGGCCGTACCCTGCACAGCCGGTCAGGCCGCATGTGCGGCAGCTGTGCCTCAGGCCGAGCCTGTTCCCAGTCTGAGTGCTGGGCAGGACAGGGCTGGCCACGTGGCCACCAGCTGTATTAAGGGCTCCAGAATCCAAGCAGCTTTCCCTAGCCAAACTGACCCCTGCTCCCTTGTAAAAGAAGGGGTCCCAGGGTGGTGAGAGGAGGGGGCCTGAGCTCAGCAATGTCCAGGTGTGGCACCGGTTTGGGAAGGGCCCGCTGGCGGTGGGGGCTGCCCCACTGGTGTCTGAGAAAGGGCCCAGCCACTGTCTCGCTGCTGGAGTCGCCGAGCCACCTGCAGCTGCACGACCCGCCGCCGCCACGTTCGCCAGGCCCCTCCCAGGTGCCACGGCCTGAGCTGTGGGGACAGCGGGGGAGAAGGCCCCAAGCTGGGCCCGCCGCTGCCTCGGGCACCCATGCTCCCTGCAGCCCCCAGCCCCGCTGTGGCACAGCGAAGAAGGGAATGCGACCGGGGGTGTCGTCTGCAGTGTGTGAACAGGGCAGATTCCTGGCCTGGCCCCGGGTTTCAGACTGAGTAGGTCCAAAGACCTTACTTTGAAAAGACCGCACTCCAGGGGTTTGGACTGAGGATGCAATGGGATGGGAAACCGGAGTGAGGCTGGGGCCGCCCCTCTCACCTGTGACCGCACCAGCTCCTCTGCCCCCCACGCTGCCATGTTGCTGCCAGGCGCCTGGCCTGCTGGGAGCCCTGCAACCGGCGGAGCAGTGCCTCCCGGTGCCAGTGTCGCAGGCATCTCCTCCCGGGGGCCCAGGGGGAGAGGCCCTGTGTGTGTCCTGACAGTCGGGCACCATGACCCCTTCCAAACGGGCCGAGCTCTGGCCTTGGGCCCACTCCTCCAGGATCCTGCAGGGATGAGCCCGGGCCGGAGAGGCCCAGTGCTGTCCGCACTCAGACAAGCCCCTCGGCCGGGGCCCCCCACCCCACGCTCTCCACGCAGCTGCTCACCCCAGCCGCCTCTAACCCTCTGGCCTTCGCCTGTGAGGGAGGGTGCTGGCCTCAGAGCTCCAGTCCCCTCCTGGTCCCGCAGGGGGCTGGCCCTGGGCCCAGTGGGTCAGCCCAGGCCACTGTGTCCAGAGCTGGACGGCACTGTCGCCTGGAAGGGGGGATTGAGTTTGGCAATGCTAACACACTCGTTCAGGAGGGCAGACTCCCCTGGAGTCCGCTCCTGGAAGTGGCGTGCACGCGGCAGGGTGAGAAAAGGGGCTGGGGTAAGCGTTGTGCCCCCTCTTCTACCACATCCACCCGGCCCCCAGGCCCTCGCTGCTGCCCCCCAAGAACTGACAGGTGGGGCGGGCAGAATGTGCTGTTTTCTGAAAGCAGCTGAGATCCCCCAGAAGAGGGAGCGGGTGGGGAAAATATGCAGTAGGTACACAGGAGGAATGTGCCGAGAAGCCAGGGCTCACGCCCAGGCCCTTGCGGCCCGTGACCCTGCGGTTCAGAAGTCCCACTTCCCCAGGGGACTGCTCTGAGCCCAGGGTGTGTCTCTGCTCTCCCTCTGTCCGCCGAGGCTGTGACGCTATGGGGGCCTGTGGGGCCGGCCAGCCTGGGCTCCGCGCCCTGTGGCCTGCGGCTGTGGGGCTGAGGAAACAGCCCGAGAGGAAAACCTCAACCCAACGGGCGTGGCCCTCCTGGGGCCCAGGCGACCGGGCGGGATTCCTTGCCTGCCCTGCCCCTGCCCCCACCCCCCACCCCGGGAGCGGGGTCTCCTACTTGGGTGGGCCGACGTGGGATAGCTCGTGGGACTGCGCCTCCGCCCGTGAGCCCTGAGGCTCCCAGAGATGGAGAAGGTGCCCACGGGGAGTGTGACCATCGGCTCGCACCACCGTCTCTCCCCGCATCCTCCCAGGTGGCTGGAGACTCCAGCATCGGGGTGGCCCAGTGATAGCTGCCCTTCGGTGAGAACGCACCTGTGCCAGGTACGGCCCGAGAGGCGGTCATGGCTCTCCCACGGAAGCTTCACAAAAGCTCAGCCACTTCCCTGAGGCCCCACCTGTCAGGAGTGGTCCGACTCCAAGGCCCACGCCCCCCGCCCCCCGCTACCGTGCACACAGGTGCTGGACTCTCCCGGGGACTCGGGGCACGGTACCAGACGTGGGGCGAGGGCGGCCTGCGCGCTGGGATCTCGTGGGAGGGAGGTGGGGAGGCCTGGAACTCTCAGCACCCTAGTTCCCATTCCCAGCACTGACCCAGTTTCTACAAGCCCCAGTTTCCCCATCCTAAGTGGGAGCCCCGCCCACCTTTGCCGACAGGAATCGCATGAAAGTGTTTGTAAACATGCTCTGAAAGCAGAACCGTCTTGCGACACAGATCTGGAAATGAGATGCCCCGAGGCCCCAGAGTCTGCTGTTGCCGCAGCCCCGCACTGACGCACTGACGCACTGACTACGTGGGTTCTGCAAACGACCAAAGCTGCTCCCTGTCCGTTCCGTTAAAAAAAAAATCTTTTTAGCCCTGGCTGGCATAGCTCAGTGGATTGAGCTCGGGCTGGGAACCAAAGTGTCCCAGGTTCGATTCCCAGCCAGGGTACATTCCTGGGTTGCAGGCCATGACTCCCAGCAACCGCACGTTGATGTTTCTCTCTCTCTCTCTTTCTCCCTCTTTTCCCTCTCTAAAAATAAATAAATAAAATCTTTTTAAAAAATCTTTTTTTTCTTCAATGCTCTGGAGTCCATTAGTTACTTCCTGGCATTCTGAAGCAGGACCCTTGATGATGCCAGTTCATTTTCAGGAACACGATGTGGCCCGGCCAGGCCCAGGGGCTGTAGGCACCGCGGTGACGTGTCCCCGGACTGCCGTGCACTGGCTCCCGCTGTGGCCTCTTCCCTCCCGCGGGGCCGTCACGCTTCTGCCGCCATTTGCTAGTGTCAGAACTAACTGCGTCTGGTCTGCAGCGGCTGGCAGTTCGCTTCGGGTAGAGAATGTCATCAGAGAAAATTTTTCATTTATGTTTTCTGATTTTTCTGTGACGAGCATGCTTCATTTTTCCAGTGTAAAAAAGTGGTGCTGTCCTGGTGTTCCTGTCCCGCTGCTAGACCGCAGCACGACGTGTCATGAGACTCGGTGCCGTCTGTCTGTGCAGCAGAGCTGAGCCGGGTTGGCATGCGGTAGGCGCCCAGTAACTGTCTGCCGATGGACCGGAGTCGGCCGTCTTCCAGAGCCCGGGGGCTGAGAACGAGGCAGGGGTGCTGTCCACGAGGCTGCGGGGCCCCCTGCAGAAGCTTCCAGCCATGCTGGCCGCTGCGGGCCGCAACAGGCTGATTCTGAGGCCACGGGCCCTGCCCTCATTTTGGGGCCTCCTGCTGCACCTGGGCCCCACCTCACCTGCTTCCCTGGGGCTGCGGCGTCCTCTGCTGGCCAGTCTGGGCCAGTGCCTGAGCCCTGGGCCTGGGATGGGCTGTGTTGGTCTCCTGGGCCTCCCGGTTCTGGCCACACACTGAGCAGCGCTGTCCCCCACTGGGCCCAGTGGGTGCCTGTGCCCAACCTGCTGGGACTGAGTGATGGCGACCCACTGCACACGACCCTGGGAGGCTGACTGAGCCGAGGCCTCTAGGACCCTGGGGGAGAGGGAGGAGCCCACACCCAAGGCCCTGAGGGCTCTGGGGCGCTTTGGCAGCTGCAGGGAGCCCTTCCCAGCCCTCACCAGTGCCCTTCGGTATAAGGCCTGCAGGCAAAGCCCCAGCCCTGCTTCTCCTCCCCACCCCCCACCCCAGCCCTCTGCTGGAGAAGACAGGCTGAAATGGGCATGGAGAGCAGCACAGTCTCACACAACAGGCACAAGCATTCTGTTCAGAGAAAGGACAGCTCCACCAGCCAGCGACACTCTCCCTCTCCTTTCCCCCGGGAACTGGTTTATTGAGCAGCTGCTGTCTCCCTCGTCTGGCCCCGGCTCCCAGCTGAACGTTTGCATTCATTATCTCTAATCTCTGGGCCCTCCTGCACAACAGGCTGTTATCTTCCTTCGATCTTTAAAGTCAGACTTGCCCAGGAGGGGTCACACAGCTGGGGGGTGGGGAGCTGGGATCTGACCCCAGTACTAATGACAATGACCAGGAGCACCTCTCCTTATCACCCTCAGCGTCCTGAGCCCTGGCACCAGCCACCAAATACCCGCTACCCCTGCCCCAGGCAAGCTCGAGGCCCAAGCTGGAAGCACAGTGAGAGGCTGCCCCCGGGCCACGGGAACCCACCTGGCATTCAGCTTCTGGGCAGGGTGGGCCTGGCTGAGCTGACGTAGGTGGGACTCAGGCACCCACAGTGTCCAGCACAGGGCCACCCGAGCCTGGGCCCGAGCTCTCTCTGCTGTCTGCTGGCGGGCCTCAAGGCACTGGCCCAGGGCCACTCGCCATGCTATGACGGCCTGCTGGGCCCGGGTCGTCCTCAGCTGCCTCTCTGCCCGGCCACCCAGCACGTGGCTTCTCCAGCGAGCAGCGGAGGTCCAGGCAGTGCCCTGCCCCCGTGTCCAGGCTGCGGCCACTCTGGCTTCCCACCATGGGGTGAATGTGGCCCCCACCGCCCTTCTCCTCGGTCCGTCCTGGAAGACCCGACACCGGGCCCGGGGCATCCCAGCGCTCCCTGCAGATCCGCACCAGCTTGGAAGTGGCTGCCAAACGAGCAGGGGAGGGGTCCGGTGGCTGCCACAGTCAAAGTCAGCGTTTACTCAGCCCTGGGCAGTGTGGCTCAGCTGGCTGGGCACAGTCCCGTGGGACTCCTGGGTATAGGCTCAGGATCCCATTAGGGGCATGTGCGGCCCATTAATGTTTATCTCTCGCATCCATGTTTCTCTCCCTTTCTTTCTCCCTCCCTTCCCCTCTCTCTTTAAAAAAAAAAGTTTTTATTTATTTTTAGAGAGAGGGGAAAGGAGGGAGAAAGAAAGGGAGAGAAACATCAACATGTAGTTGCCTCTCCCATGTCCCCCACTGGGCACCTGGCCAGCAATCCAGGCGTGTGTCCTGGCTGGGAATCAAACTGGCAACGCTTTGGTTTGCAGGCTGGTGCTCAGTCCACTGAGCCACACCAGCCAGGCTCTTCCCCTCTCTCTTAAAAAACGTCACATTTGTTCAAAATTACACCTGTAATCTCCCCACCAAGTCTTATAAATTACACACGGTTTGATAGACAACCCTGAGTCTTAAAAATGTAGGGACCGACGTGTAGAGGGGAGAACACCGGCTTTCATTTGAAGCCCCACAGGAGAGAGGGAACCAGCGGGTGAGGGTTCAAGTCCCAGATCCACTGGCGGACAGCCGCCCCTGCCCCCTCTCACAAGCCTGCTCCCAGGCAGGAGGTCAGTGAGGGGAAGAGGGTCTCCCACTCCCTGAGGGGCTGGGGAAATGTCCACACCCTTTAGATGTGAAAGCACAGAGGTCAGCCGCTCTGCGGGCAGTGGAGCGTGGCTGTGGGGACAGCATGAACACCTGCAAATCTGTCACTGAACAGCAGCAGGACGCGCCACCTGTGGACTCTGGTTTGTTCGCTTGTTTGAGAGCAAGAGAAACATGGATTTGTTATTCTACTTATTTATGCATTCATTGGTTGATTCCTGTATGTGCCCTGACTGGGGATTGAACCTGCAACTTTGGTGTATTGGGACAACGCTCCAATCAAGTGAGCTGCCCAGCCAGGGCCTATGCTGGCTGCTTTTAAATGTGCACGAACGAACTATGTACATGTTTCACGAGAATGTCTCTATTTGAGATTGCATCCTTTTCCTTTGGCCCCTGTAGACAGAGCTCCCCTGAGCCGACCCCTCAGACAGCACGCGGTGTTGGGACACAGATGAGGGTGGAGGTCTGAGGGGTTCATGTCTTAACTGTGTCCTCTGAAACCGAGGGGCTGACCTGGCTGGGAGGGCCAGGCTCTGCAGCTCCAGGTGGGGTCTCCCTTCACGCTCTCCAACCCCTGCCATTTTCCAGGTCCCGGGCCTCCAGCCTGGACTCCACTAGAGCTGCAGATGCAACCCAGCCTCCCATCCATCCCCTGGGCTCTCTCCCTGCTCTTCCCAGGGGTGGGGATGACCCTCCGCCTCCCCTCCCCATCCTGAGCTCACCCACCCACCCACCCACCTCTGCAGTAGGAGTTGCTCTGGCCGGGCCCCCCTGTGTCTCTGCTGAGAACACAGCTCTTCACAGGCCCTGGACGCGAACCCACACCCACCTCCGGTACTGTTCATGCAGGCACTGCTGCCCTGTGGCCAGAGAGATGCTGGGTGCTCTTCCTGGCCTCACCCCCGGGCCCTCCCTGGGTGCCCGTGGGCCCCTGCTTAGCTGGTCCTTGGCCCTCTACCCAACTGGAAACAGACGAGGCCACCCTAACTGTCCGGGTCAAGGTGCTTTGGTATACAGGTGCCCTACAGGTGACCAGGCCCACCCGACTCATAGTTGTTGGTTTTTTAAAAAATTGCCTGGTGGTGTTTAGGAATCTTGAGAATTTCATAAAAATCTAGATTCCCAGCTTTTCTTTAAAAACTAGAGTTCTGGCAGCACTGGGCCAGCCCTCCTGGGCACCTGGGACCACTGGGTGGAGAAGCAGCTGTTTCCTGTGGACAGCACGTGAGCTTCCAGAGCAATAAGTGCCCTCCCCAGCCCACTGGTATGAGGTCTCCGTGTAACGGGGCACCTCTAAAACGCCCCCTAGCGGCCCCCCACCTCCTGTGCTGGGCCCTGAGGGTCCCGTGACGCGGTGCTCAGACCTGTGACTCCTGAAAGCCAGGTGAGGAGGACGAGGCGGCCGATGAACAAGAACCCTTCTAGGAGCTGGGTTCTGTGCCAGGCACGTGGGTGGATTGCTTCACGGGACCCCACAATCCCCCTGTGAGACTCAGGATGAGTAGTTTGTGTAAAGTCCACACAGCCAGGAATGGGAGTGGGGACGTGAACCTGGGGACCAGTGTCCATGCCGGTCCTGGCCCTGCCCTGTGGGGGTCCTGTCATTGTTGAACCTTGTGCATGAGGATCAGGACTCCCCTGGGTCTCCCTGATGGCCCTCCTTCTGCCTTGGTGCCCCGTCGCAGGCCCCACTCACTCTGCCAGCAGGGACCATGTCCCTTCCTGGTGGAAGATGAACCAAGTGTCTTGCTTACAGGAGCTCACGACAGGGACGAGGTCCAGCCAAGGCTGACCCATTCTGGGGACCCCTCCTGAACCCTCCCAGGCTGTTCCCCTGAGAAAGGTCCCGATCCCATCACTTCCCATTACAGCGATCCATATTCAACATGCCCCGCCCCCTTCCGGCAGAAGGAGCTTAAGTGACGCTGCTTGCTGGGGTGGGAGGGACTGCTGTTTGCTCACCGGCCTTCTGCCCGCAGAGGGACAGCTGAGTCACCTTCGCCCACCGGAGGCCCGCAGCCACGTCACCCTCATCCACTGTTCCAGGCACATCCTCAGGGCTCCCGTGGGGCGGTGAGCCAGGTGATCTGGGTCCTAGGCGCCTCTCTTCACCACCCGCCGCCAGGCCCCGAAACACCTGGGGGAGCCGAGAGGACGCGCAGGCGCTCATCATGAAGGCGGCAGCCGCAGCCGCCTGCCCTACGCCAAACTCACTATTGGGGGACGTCACTTCGCCTCTCGGCCTCAGCTCCCTCATCTGTGAAACGGGGCTGCTGTGAGGACCCGAGGCCACCACCTCGGGGTGCCAGGATGGTCTCAGCTGCCTCCTACCAGGACGCCCGCATCTACTCTGGGCCCCTCCACTCGGTTCCTACTCGGGAACCCGGGTGAATTTTTCAAATCTCAAAGCAAACCGTTGTACTCCCCTGCTAACATCCTCCAGTGGCAGCCCCCTTGCGTGGATGATAACAAGCAGCTGCTCCCCAGGCCTGCAAGGTCCGCCACACACCTTTCCCGCCCCCAGCACCCCCACCCCGGGCTGACAGGGCCGCCGCTCGACTGCCCTTCTTTTTGAGTTCTCCGCACTTTGCCCTCACGGTCCTTTTTGTACCTGCTGTTCCCTCTCATCCGCCTCCCTCCCCTAGTCCACCTTTCATCCTCGCGCCTCTGCTGAGCTCCGGTCGAGGTCAGCTCCCTCCGTTAAAAGTTCTCATAGAGACCTGGCTGGTGTAGCTCAGTGGATTGAGCTCAGGCTGCGAACCAAAGCATCGCAGGTTCAATTCCCAGTCAGGGCACATGCCTGGGTCGTGGGCCAGGTCCCCAGCGGGGGCCACATGAGAGGCAACCACACATTGACGTTTCTGTCTCTCTCTTCCCCCCTCCCTTACCATCTCTAAAAATAAATAAAATTTTTTTAAAAGTTCTCATAGAATTCTCTCCTTCATTTTTATCTTGGCTAATGTAATTATGATGTGCCTTGGTGTGTTCCTCCTTGGGTCCAACTTCTTTGGGACTCTCTGAGCTTCCTGGACTTCCTGGAAGTCTATTTCCTTTGCCAGATCGGGGAAGTTTTCCTTTATTATTTGTTCAAATAAATTTTCCACTAGTTGCTCTTCCTCTTCTCCTTCTGGTACCCCTATAATTCAGATATTGGAATGTTTCAAGATGTCCTAGAGGTTTTTAAGCCTCTCCTCATTTTTTTGAATTCTTATTTCTTAATTCTTTTCTGATTGTATGTTTTTTTCTTCCTTCTGGTCCACTCCATTGATTTGAGACCCAGTTTTCTTTCCATTACTACTAGAAGCAGCAAGAGATAAGGGGACAGTAACCTACAAAGGAGTTCCCATCAGACTGTCAGCTGATTTCTCAAAAGAGACCTTGCAGGCAAGAAGGGGCTGGAAAGAAGTATTCCAAGTCATGAAAGGCAAGGACCTACATCCCAGATTGCTCTATCCAGCAAAGCTTTCATGTAGAATGGAAGGGCAGATAAAGTGCTTCTCAGATAAGGTCAAGTTAAAGGAGTTCATCATCACCAAGCTCTTATATGAAATGTTAAAGGGACTTATCTAAGAAAAAGAAGATAGAAAATATGAACAGTAAAAAGACAGCAAACTCACAGTTATTAACAACCACACCTAAAACAAAATGAAAAGAAACTAAGCAAACAACTAGAACAGGAACAGAACCACAGAAATGGAAATCACATGGAGGGTTAGCAACAGGGGAGTGGGAGGAGGAGAGAGGGGGTAAAGGTACAGAGAATAAGCAGCATAGATGGTAGGTAGAAAATAGACAGGGGAGGGCAAGAATAGTATGGGAAATGTAGAAGCCAAAGAACTTATGACACATGGATATGAACTAAAAGGAGGGAATGTGGGTGGGAAAGGGGGTGCAGGGAGGAGGGGAGTGAAGGGGAGAAATAGGACAACTGTAATAGCGTAATCAATAAAATATATTTTAAAAAATAGTTCTCATAGAAAACTCTACCACGGGGGTGCAATCAGCAAAATGCAGACAGCGGGAAACCACAGGTCAAGCACCGTGGTTTCTTCAACAGGTAAATCGCAAGGAAAAAAGAAATTCAGGGGAGCCCACAGCTTACAAAGACTTCAGTGACTCATCAACCAATTACAACATGTGCACTGTGTTAAGCGCCCAATTACAACATGTGCACTGTGTTAAGCACCTGATTCAAACAAACTGTAACAAGGTATGGGCTTGTAAAGCAACTGGGAACTCGAAGGCTGACCAGACAGTTGCCGGCATTAAGGAATTACTGTTCATTAATTTCTTGTGTGAGCATGGCCTTGTGGTTATGTTGTTGAAAAGAGATGGCTGGGCCCTGGCTAGGCCCTGGCTAGTGTGGCTCAGAGGACTGGGTGCCGGCCTACAAACCAAAAGGTCATCAGTTCGATTCCTGGCCAGGGCACATGCCTGGGTTGCGGACTGTATCCCTGGTTGGGGGTGTGTGAGAGGCAACCAATCCACATTTGATCCATGTTTTTCTTGTACATCGATGTCTCTCTCCCTCTCTCCCTCCCTTCCCTCTCTAAAAATAAATAAATAAATCTTTTTTTAAAAAAAGAGATGGTTAGCATTTGCCTCAAAATAACACAGAGGGGGAAGCAGTTGGGGTGCCTTTGAAACGAGGTTTCCCAGGAGGTGATTTTCTGGAAGCTGGGTGCTTTACACAGGTGTATCGTGCTACCTTCTTTACTTCCGTGTGAGATAAAAATGTCCCATAATTAAAGAGTTAACACAGAAAAAAAACTCTTACAGATCTGCGTTCCTTCCCTTCACAACACTAAACTCAGGTGCTGTTTGCACACGCCCCTCTGACTTCCTGTGTGTCCCCCAGCCTGGCCACGGGCTCCACGTGAGGCAGGCGGCGAGTGGCAGTGTGCTTTACGTAGCATTAACCCAGCTCCTGGGTGGCCTTAGGCTCTCGGTGCTCGGCAGCTGCCTTCGCCTTTCGCTTTCATCTTTGTCTCTGAAGACTAGGCGTCCAGAACTCAAAGGGCGCCTCCCAGCTGCATCCCGCCACCCTCTGCCTCTGCCTCCGCCTTGGGGAAGGGGACCCCGCCCCGCCCCCTCCCACCTCCGCCTACCTGCGGAGCCAGGCTCTCTGGTGCTGGAGGTCCAGTGGGGCCACCCAGGCTGTATCTGCAGCGGGAGAGCTCCAGGCCTGGGGGGCCCTTCCCGTGCTCAGAGTGCTCCGCACGGCCCCGGAGGTCTCTCTCTGGGCCCCCTTCTGCTCCTGCCTGGCCCATTCCTTCCCACGGCCCCACAGGAGGAAGGCTGTAAAGGGAGAGGCTAGAGAGTGAGTGGAGGGAAGGATCCGGGCCAGGAGGGCCAGGGACACCCGGGGCACCCAGGGCACCCAGCTGTGTGGCTTTCGGCCATTCGGCTGTCAGCTCCTCTGCTCTGGACTGCAGTCTGCTGCGAGTGAATGAGGTCTCAGGGCCGCTCCAGGTCTAACACTCAAGCTTCTGCTGGGCCGGTGCCAGCGTCAACGGCACATAAACCTCGTACTGTGTGTCCTCAAACTGGGCACTCAATTTTCTGTGCCCCAGCCCCTCCCCAGCAATGAAAGGGGCACAATGTCTTGCCAAGGTTGCCGAGAGGCTCAAATGAGATCGTGTCTGGGAAGTTGCCAGAGCAGATGCTCAGTAAACACTTGTTCACTCAGGACCCCCATCAGCTGGGCCCTGCCCAGCTCTGCGTCCCGCGCCCCCCCGCCACCAGCTTCCCCAGGCCCCGCCTCTCACCAGCCAGTTGCTGCAGGGCCTGCAGGATCTGTCTCCTCCATCTGGTCTCTGCCCAGAAGGCGATGGCACTGGCCGGGCTCCGGCCTTCTCCTTCAGACTCCCCGGACTGAAAGGAAAGTCACGCAGGGAGAAACTGGTGCCCAGGGCCAAGGAAGGGCACACGATGCGACCTGCCCAACCCAGCCCGGGGCGATGCTGCCGGCCTGCGGGAGCAAAGGGGTGCCGGCCCCCCCAGGTCTGTTCCAGGCAGCTCCCTCGCCCCCCCCCATTACACGAGGGATTTGGGGAGGGGGTTCTGCTTTGGCTTCATTCTCTTCAACACTATTTGCATTTTTTTTACAATGAACATGTAGTAAAATAGATATTGTTTAAATCATTATTTTAAACACAGTTTTGAAAACAAAATAAGAACAATACATCACAGTAGTGGAAAACTGAGGAAATGAAGAAAATAGCCGATTTTAACCCTGCTGTTCCAGAGATAAGCACTATTTGCATTGTAGGTTTTGGGGGGCTGAGGGATGAAATGTTTTCTTTTCTTTTTAAGATTTTATTTATTTATTTTTTAGAGAGGGAAGGGAGGGAGAAAGAGAGAGAGAGAGAGAAAGAAACATCAATGTGCGGTTGCTGGGGGCCGTAGCCTGCAACCCAGGCATGTACCCTGACTGGGAATCGAACCTGCGACACTTTGGTTCGCAGCCTGCACTCAATCCACTGAGCTATGCCAGCCAGGGCAGGATGAAATATTTTCTTTTTTTTTTTTAATTTTTATTTTAATCATTGTTCAAGTACAGTTTTCTCCCTTTTACTCCCAATCCAGCCCACCCACCCGCGGATGAAATATTTTCTTAATCATATGTTTAAGAGTGGCAAGATACACATAACATAAATGTATCATTTTAACCATTTCCCAGTGGACAACTCAGTAATGTTAAGTCCTTCACTTAACATTCAGTGTGGAACATTTTAGTATTTTTTCCTTCTGGTCTTTTTTTTTTAAGCACTGTTTTAGGTGCATAGAGAAAACATCTTAGATACTACTTATTTATCCTTCACCATTGTTCCTTGCCATCAAATTCTACACAAATGGGCCCTGGCTGGGATAGCTCAGTGGATTGAGCGCGGCCTGAGAACCAAAGCGTTGCAGGTTCGATTCCCAGTCAGGGCACATGCCTGGGTTGCAGGCCAGGTCCCCCAGTGGGGGCCACGTGGGAGGCAACCACACACTGATGTTTCTCTCTTTCTCCCTCCCTTCCCCTCTCTGAAAATAAATAAATAAAATCTTAGGAAAAAAATTCTACACACATGCCCATGAAAAGACTTCCAGGAAGGAGGATACGTGGGGAGGGGATAACATTTCCAGTGATACTGGATGTTTTTTCAAATCAAGCGTACAGGACTGTCATGGTTAGAAATAAAAATTAAAGGTATGGCAATGGAAGATAAAGGGAAGGAGAGGGAGGGCATCCTTGTCTTCATAAACACTACGCCGAACAGTTGCCAAGCAGCCGCCACACGGTGAAGCCGCGGTTTCCTCACCCACGGGGCACGCAGGCTCTTTCGCAGTTTTTGCAAGGACACACGACGCTGTGATGGACATCCGTTTGTACAAATCTTTGCCGGCAGCTGCTGTGTGCATGCCCGTTCTCTTGCTGGGGAGGGGGAATGGGGGACCAGGGGGGAAGGCTGCCAGCACTGCCCAAGCCACACTGGGCGACCCGAGGTGTCCCCAGCTACCTGCTTCTCTGGGCAGGGCCCACCCCTGGCTTCCTTCCCGAGGGGCTCCCCCCAGAGGGTGGGGGTGCTGGCCCGGCCTGGAGGTAGGGCTGCTCAAACCCTTGTCTCTGCTGCCGAGTCAGCCTTCTCCCCTGGACCGTGAGAGAAGGGGAAAAGGGACGTGACCTGTGGCCTCAGATGTGCCCTGAGAGGGAGCCCCAAGGAGGGCAGGCACGGGGCCAAACACATCCATCAGACTCCACGGCCTGTGGGCTTAGCCACCAGGATGCCCTGCCACTCTGGAGATGCACGAGTGAACGGAGAGAGGGAGCCCAGGAGGCAGGGCTTTCCTTGGGAGGCCGAACCCAGAGCTGGGACCTTCCACAGCACCCCTTTCCCAAGGTGGGAGGAACACAGAAATTCCCTCCCGGGCCTGGCCCCAAACCACTAGTGAAAAATAGCAACCGCTGATATGGTAGTGCTAGCTGTGGGCCAGGCGGAGTTTGGAGTCCCTTTACTTATTTAGCCTCTCGACAACCCCAAGAAGTGTGATGTGCTATTACTATTCCATCTTAGAGCTACAAGACTAAGGCACAGAGAGGTTAAGTAACTCGCCCACAGCCACACAGCCAAAGAGTGTGAAAGAAAGTAGTGGAGGCAGGATTTGAACTGAGGCAGAGCTGGTTCAGGTGTCTGGGCTGACAACTGTCCACCCTACTTCAGATCACTCAGAAGGGCTAACCTGTGCCCAGAAGGAGCTCCTCCCTAGACACTCGGGCATTTCACCACCTCCCCATGACCCAGCCGGGAGGCCCCCGACCTTCTGGAAGCTCCAGGCCAGCCCGGCCCTTGTGTGTTGACTCCAGACCGCCTCCAGCTGGGCCACCCGGAGCCACCGTGCCCAGCACAGCACCTGCAGGCCCCTGCTCAGCAGCTGCCTTTGGCCCAGGACCACTGTGGCCGCCACAGCCCACCAGTTCCAAACCGAGTGCCGCCAGGCTCTGAAACATCTGGACTAGACAGCAGCTGCGGGCTGGGGGTGCTCCAGGGCTGGTTGGCAGGTGGGCCTGCCCCTCAGCCCAGGGCAGCATCTGGGGGCAGGGCAGCAGCGCCCCCCTGTGGCCCTTCCCACAGTGACAATTCGCAGAAACAGCGGGCCCCACGTGCCTGTCCCCTGTCTCCCGCAGCCCCCTGTGGTTCCCAGCAGGGACGGCTTGGAGGAAGCTCCTCCCCCTTAGGGCCTGTGTGGATCTGCCCTCAGGGACGCATCTCCGTCAGGCCCTAGAGTCCCTCCGCCCAGGCAAATGGGAGAGGAGCTGTCCCGGCCCGCAGCCAGGAACTCACCGGGCTGTCTCCCACTCCAGCTGTCTCCCACTCCAGGCTCACCGTGTTTCGGGCTTTGTTCTTGGAAAACAAAAGGATAAGGTAGCTCTCAGGCCGAGCAGCAAGCAGGACAGGACACGCCTGCTGGGCCTGCCCGCCGGAGGCCTCCCTTTCTGAGGGAACCGGGTGTGACAGGGCGGTGGGAATGCCCAGGGTGGGCTGCAGCCGCCTGGAGCCCCCCACAGTCCCGCTCCCAGACTCCTCTGTCCTCTACCTGCAGGGCACCTCCGGCCAGGGCTGGGGCTGGCAGACAGGAAGTCTCCCCGCTGACCTGCTCCCTGGGGGCCTCCGCCCCTCCTTCCTGCCCAGGGAGGACACCCCTGGCTGCTCTGGAGAAGGTGGAAGAGCAGAGTCTGCTCCCCTCCTGCTCCCTGCTGTACGCGGCCTCTCTCCTTGCCTCAGGGCACAGGCAGGAAGGGCGCCCTGCTCGGAGCCGAGGAAATCCCTAGAGAGCACCTCCGCAGGGGTCTCTGGTGGGGGCGATTCGGGCTTGCTGCCTGCCTGAGAGTCTGAGGGACCACGCTGGGCCCCGGGGGTCCCTGGGAAATTCACAGCTCCCCTGAGACCGCGGGGGTGCTTCTTCCTCTTCTCCCAGGAAGCAAGAACAGGCTGGCAGGGCTGGGGGCCAGCAGGGAGGCCCTGGCCATCACTGGTGCAGGGCTCTTGCTGTGAAGGGACTGGGGGTTCCTGGGTCCCCCGGCACCTGAGGTGGGCCACCTTGTGCTCCAGGCATTGCAGGAAGGCCAGCAGCTGGGACATGGCAGCCTGGGATGGGGCCCGAGCCTGGCTCTTGGCAGGGACAGCCAGGTCCTCCAGGGTGAGGGGTTCCCCCATGAGCCCGGAGGCCCAGCTCCCCAGGCCACCCCAGGAGCTGGGGCCCGGCTGTGTGTGCCCATCAACAGAGGCATAGCGCACGGTGGGGCTGAAGTCCAGGCGTGGGGTGTCTGTGGGCAGCAGCCGGGACTGCTTCCGGGTGGAGGATGGGCGAGCCTGTGGCCCTTGGGGTAGGGGACTTCTCAGGGGCATCACATGAGGCCAGAAGCTTTCTGGAGGCTCCGACCAAAGGTGGGGGCTGCTGCGAATTTCACACTTGGCCAGGCTGGCCTCCCCGAGGCCCAGGTTACTCTGCTGGATGGCCGAGGCTCGTACTCCCCTCTGGGGGAGGCTGCGCAGGGGCTGCAAGTTGCTCTGCTGCTGGAAGCGTGAGTTGATGAGCCGGTTAGGACCAGTCGTGGCCTTTAGGGCAAGGCCCAGGCGGGGGCTGGGACTGGCCAGGTTGCTCTGGACTCGGCAGGGCTCCCGGCGAAGCACCGCACCCAGGGAGGGTGCGGTGGCAGGCCCTCCCCTCTCAGCCTGGCCCCTGGGCGCCCACCGGCCCCGGCTCTGTGTCACCAGGAGTCTCTGTGGCTCTAAAAAGAGTAGAGACAGTCATGCCCTGAGGGTGGGCAAACTCGGTGTCCAGTGCTCAAGTGGGACAGTGGGGGCCTGTCAGGCCCCAGAACCGGGGAGGGACAGGGCCCCAAGCAGCAGGGAGCTGGGACTTGGAGGTCTGCCTGGCTCTGCAGGTCAGCAGGCAGTGAGAGCCTGGGGACCTTGAGCGAGAGTGGTGACACGGTCTGACTGCGCCTGGCCGCTTGGAGCAGGGGCACGGCAGGGTCAGAGCCGAGGAGGCTGCGGAGGGTCCCAGGCGAGAGGTGACGGGGCTGGGGTCAGGGGTGGCAGGGAGGGTAGAGAGGAGACAGACTCGGATCTGCTGTGGAGGCGGAGGCTTAGAAGAGGGGGAGGGAAATTAAGCTGATTTCCAGCTTGAGCAAAGAGGTGACGGGGAGCAGGCAGCAGCTGGGGATGAAAGCAAGACCCAGCCTGTCACACGGCTCCAGGCGAGCTGCTCTGGGGACCCAGGGGTGGGCCTTGGAGCCCTCCCTCCGACTGCCCCCCACCCCTAAGGCCATCCCACCGGAGACTGGGCCTCCTGGGAGCTGGCACCATGCCTGGGAAGGCCTGGCAAATATAGTGTGGGCCATACAAGTTTGTAAGTAGGAACTAAAGCTCAGAGAGGTCAAGCAACTTGCCCACAGGCACACAGCTAGAACACTAAGAAACCGGCATGTGAAGCACAATCTGAATTTGCTCTGGGCTGCGTCTGCCTGTGGCTGCACCCACCCTGCGGCCTTCTTGAAGCTCCAGGCACCTGAGCTTGGAGGTTCTCCAGCCCACCATCCCTGGCACAGCCCGGCCTGTGGGAGCCTCTCCTCCCCCGGGGCCCCAGCCGGACCTTCTTCCTGACCTCCCTCCCTGACTTCCTGACCTCCCCCTGGGCCCCAGGCTGAGAAGCCTTTGGCCCAGTACAGCTAATCTCTGGAATTGGCAAGGCCCTGGGTTGGCCTGTCTGGGACCCGGCTCCTGCCACCTCCAACCCAGACCCACTACGCCTCTTGCCTGGCCTCAGGGGGGTCGCAGGCCTGGGGGGCACATTCTCCTTGTGACTGGCATCAGGTCTCAGCTTCCTGGGCTCCAGGGCAAAGCCAGGGGGGCAGTAGTGTCCTTGGTCACCCCACAGCCAGCGGCCTGTTGGATCACACGAGATCTGAGGGGCGAGGACAGAGTGTCCTGGCTCCCACCAGGCCACACCCCAGCCCTGGCCCACACCCCACCCCTCACCAGCACCCCTAGTTAGCCCAGCCCCAGCTGTCCCGGTCAGGCCCCCTTGGAGTCTCCTGGCCCTGTACACCCCCGAAGACCCTCTTTCCATCATGGTCATTTCCTCTTGTCTTGCAGTATCCCTGCCCAGCCCCTAGAGGGAGCAAGGCTCTCTTTGTTTCCTGTCTCCAGTTTCTGAACATTCTCCCTCCTCCCTCTCGAAGACACTGGGTTCCAAGCTCCAGGTGCTCGATGAAGGAAGCGCTGGTCAGGCCCCCTGGCTCCCTGAAGATTTCAGCTCCTGGCTTACTGGCACTTTCTTCGACACATGCCTGTCTCCGTTCTGGGCGATTTCACCGCGATCCACACCAACGATCCCTCCAGCTCCTGGCCTGTGGGGTCCTCGGCCTTCTCCTCTCCTACCATCCTGCCCTTCCCCCAACCTCGGCCACCAGCTCCCGAGACCCTCCCAGACTTTGTCATCCTAAATAACTGCACCCCTCCGCGATCTCCGTTTCAGAGCCCGCCCCTGATTTTTCCAGTCCATTCCCTGAGTGCCCGATCCTACAGTCTTCCCCTCCAGGGACCCTCCCTCTCGCCACCACACCACCCCCTTGGTCTGTTCTTTTCTTTTCTTTTTTTTTTAAGAGAGGGAAGGGAAGGAGAAAGAGAGAGAGAGAGAAACATCAATGTGGGTTTGCTGGGGGCCGTGGCCTGCAACCCAGGCATATGCCCTGACTGGGAATTGAACCTGCGACACTTTGGTTCGCAGCCCACGCTCAATCCACTGAGCTATGCCAGCCAGGGCTCCTTGGTCTGTTCTTGCCCACTGATGTCTCTCTCTGCTCCTGCACTTAAGCGCCCAGGGTCATAATCACCCCGTTTGCACACCCTTGGCTCCCCCTCTCCGCCACATTCCCTCCGTGGAGTCGCAACGCTGGTCCGAGTGGCTAAAGAAACCCCTGCAACCCCGCCCTGCGGCCTCGCTCCAGAACCTTCCGTCTCCAGTCCCAAAAGGCTACTGGAGAGTCAGATTCTGCTCCCCTCCCCCCCCACCCGTCTAGATACTAGTTCACACTTTCTCCTGTCCTTGAACCTCTGCCACCCCTTCTCCCTCCACACGCCCTTTGGCAGAACTTGTTGGCTATTGTGCCCACAAAATAGGGCCATCAAAAAGAAACACCACCAGCTCCCTCACCAGCGTCATGCCCACTGCCTTTCCCGCCCCTCCCCCATCCCATCTGGTATCATCCCCCGCCGGACCCTCCCCTAAGCTCTGGGTGCCCTTCTGTGTCCCCCGCCAAAGGGCAGCACCCAGGGCCATCACCGGTCTCTGAGATACCGTTCTCTGAATCAGGAAGAGGACCCATAACGATGTCCACGCCACACAGCTGATTAAACCACACCAGGGCGCAGAGCTTGGGGGTCAGGACACGGGCTATGCTGTGTCAGGGCCCTGACCCTGCTCTCAAAGGCCCCTGCCCCATCCTCTGCACTTCCTTACCGACTCGGTCCCATCAGCACTTACACAGGGCGGTATTTTTTCCACCTTTAAAAACGATGAGCAAAAACACTAAACTTCTTCCCTTCTCAGAACACCCAAATCCTAATTCTTCTCCCACTCCTACCTCTGCTGACTTCATTGCAATCAGCCCCCCCACCCCACCCCAAAGCTGCTTTCCTCCAGGTGACCTCCGAGGTGCAGGTCCCCGGCCAGTTCCCAGGCAGCAGTAGGACAGTGGTCACTGGTCCTCCTCGGCGCCCCCCAGGACGCCACCCCTCAGCCTCCCTCCCTCCTGCCGGCATCTCGTTCCCAGTCTCCACTGCTGGTCCCTCCCCTTCTCCTGAGCTCTCAGTGTTGGGGGTGCCAGGGCCTCCTCCCTTCCCTGAGGCATGCACCCCAAGTGATCTCAGCGCCAGACCCTTCTAAGGCATTGTCCCTTCTCTGAGAATGGCAGCTTTAGCCTCCTGCTGGCCCAGGGGACAATCCTGGAGTCCCCCTGACCTCCTGCTCCCACACACCACCCGCAATCCATCAGCTCATCCTGTCTGCTCTACCTTCCAAGGATATCTAGAATCCAGTCCCTGCTCACCCCCTCCGTCCTCACCTCCTGAGGCCAAGCCATCACCACCTCTTGCCTCCTGACTGGTCTCCCACTCTGCCCTGCCCCCCTCACCCTGTGGCCTCCTCCCCACAGTGGCAAGAGTGACCCTGAGAACTTAGGTCAGAGCAGGTCTGGACTCAACGCGAACGGCTCCAAAGACTCCCCAACCCACTCGGTCCTCAGTGAAGGCTCCCAGGTCCCCACATCAGGGAGCCTGCTGGTCAGACAAGGGGACACAGGAACACAGCCAGTCTGTCGGCAGATGGCTTGTCCATGGCTACTTTCTCACCACGTGGCAGAGTAGTTTCAACAGACACATGGTGGCCCCCAAAGCCTAACACATTTACTTTCTGGCTTCTAGGGAAGTTTGTTTAAGAAGTAAGGGGACTGGGGAATGAGTGAAAAGGGGAATGTAGTCGATCATATTGTGATAAGTTTGCACGGTGACAGAGGACTCCTAGAATTAGTGGGGTGATCACATTGTGAGGTATAAAATGGTCAAATCCTGCCTTGGCTGGTGTGGCTCAGTGGCCTGAGCATGGGCCTTCGAACCAAAGAGTCACCGGTTCGATTCCCAGTCAGGGCACATGCCTGGGTTGTGGGCCAGGTCCCCAGTAGGGGGCGCCTGGGAGGCAACCACACATTGATGTTTCTCTCCGTCTCCCTCCTTCCCCTCTAAAAATAAATAACATCTTAAAACAAAGTTGAATCCCCACATTGTACACCTGACTAATATAATCAACATAAGAATGTACACCAGTTCTACTTATGTTTTAAAATGTTTGCTGACCCCTGCCCCAGTGACCTAGCCCTGGTTACCAACCTCATCCCTACTCCTGTTCCCCAGCTCTTTCTGCTGCAAACACACCCACCTCCTTGTTGTTCTCCCCAAATGCTGCGTGTGTTCTGGCCTCAAGGCCTTTGCACTTGCTGTTCCCTCTGCCTGGAACTCTCTCCCCCTCTCTCTTCTCCTTCACCTCCCGCCTCAAACATCACAGCGAGCCCCTCCCCGACCACTGTCTCTGCAACACAGCTCTCTCTCCCGCCCCCTCCTCTCTTTGCAAGATCTTTGTCCGTGACTTAGCGCCACCTAACAGACTGAGGAAGTCGGTGTCTGCCTCTCTCTCTCTCCAGCGGCCCGGGAGCCACTGTGTCTCTTTTCCAGGCCGTATTCACAGCATATGGAACAGTACCTGGCGCACCACAGGAGCTCCCGCATTGTGCTCAGTGGATGAGCCGTACTAAGCACCACGCCCCCTTGAGGATGCTTCCTATCATTTCATCTGCACCGCGGCCCAAAGAATTACGGCTTTGCTTTAGGGAAGAGGAAACTGGAGCTTAACAGGGCTCCCCTCCCGGCCCTGAGGCTGCAGAGGGGCCCCCTGGGCCTGACTCCACCGCCCGGCTGGAGACAGGCGTCACCAGGACAGTCCCACGCCCCACCTCTTTCCAAAGGAGACTTGAGACAGCTCAAACCACATATCCCTTTCCATCCCCCCCATTTTCTCTTCCCCCCACCCCAGCCGGGCTCTCTCTCTCTCTAACCCCCCACACTACCTGCCCCCTTTCCACTCCCCTCCAATCAAGGACAGCAGAGCCTCCCTCCTCTTCCCACCAAAAGAACTTGTGATCACTTTCCCTGCCCTCCTGAACTTGCCCTTCAGTGCGTTTGTCTTCCTCGGGCCCTTGTTACCCAGTTGGGTTTGAACCTGGAGGGGACCTCGGGCAGGACCGCTAACGATCCAAGAAGGCAAAGGGTAGGGGCGTGGCGGTCAACGTCAGCGAGCGTGCTCCCGGGGTCCCGCACCAGCCTCGAGGTGCGCAGTGCGCCTGTGAGCCCCTAGCTGTGAGCGTGGCCTCCGCAGTCTGCGCATGTAGGGGTCCGAGGGCGGGGCCAGGGGGCGCCCGCGGTCCTCGGCCCTGGGGGTTCTGGCCGGCCCCGCCGCCACTCAAGCTGGGTCTCCGCTGGAAAAGCACGTGGCCTTGTGCAGACTTCTGGCTCGCACAAGACACGTCAGACTGCCAGCCTCCAGGCCCCTCCGAAACTGGCTGGCATCCACCCTACGCCCTCCTCTAGGCGCCGTGTGCTCCGGCCAAATCACACTTCCCCTGCGGCATTTTCCGCCTCTAAGTCCTGGTCCGTGCTGTTCCCCACAGCACCCTGCTCCACCCCGCCCACTCCTTCCTCGGTCTGGAATGTGTTCTTGTCCTTTCTAAACACCCACCGGGAGAGAAAAGAGCACTGGGCCCGGAAGACCCGGTCGAGACCGGTTCCGCGGCTGTGTGACTTGAGGCAAGTCCCTAACTTCTGCGAACCTCAGGCTCCTCATCTGTAAAAGGGGAGTGGTAACACCCACTCCATTGCCCTCCGGCTTGACTGGAGAGCCGTTTCAGGAACGCCAGGCAGCCTTTCAAATTCTAACGCAGTCCTCGAAGGAGGGGGTGGTTATGGCTTCCTGATTAAGTCCGTGCATCTAATACCTCCTCCTAAACCTGCTGGATTGAACTTAACTTTTTTTTTAAATATTTTATTTATTTATTTTTTAGAGAGGGAAGGGAGGGAGGGGGGGGGAGAGAGAGAGAGAGAGAGAGAGAGAGAGAGAGAGAGAGAAACATCAATGTGCGGTTGCTGGGGGTCGTGGCCTGCAACCCAGGCATGTACCCTGACTGGGAATGGAACCTGCGACACTTTGGTTCCCAGCGGCTCAATCCACTGAGCTACGCCAGCCAGGGCTGAACTTAACTTTTTCAACCTTTTACTTTCTTCAGCCTTGCTGCGTCCATGTATTTAGGTGTGTGTTTTATGAACACAATATGGCCGGAGTTTTGTAAAAAATTATTTACAAGTATATGATTATGACACATTTCTACAAACCATCTTAATTTTGTGCTTGCTAGTAGTCAAGTATCATGTTTCTCTTTCTTTCCTTTCTTATCTTTTTTTTTTTTTTTGGCAAATCTCCTGCCCCCCAACCCCCCACAACTAGCTTGGAACTTATACGTTGTATTTCTGTCGTTCAGTTGTTATCCAAGACATTTTAATATGTGTATTTCATTTGACTAAGTCTACAGTTAATCCAGTATTTACCTTCCTTCCAGACCCCCACCCCCTAAAAATAAAAAGGCTTTATAATACATTGTGTCTGGTCAGCTCCTCCGGAAATATATTATTGTCGTGAACACTAAACCACATTTACTATTTCCTTTGTGCTTGTCAGATCTCCCTTAAGGAAAAATGTCCTTCTTCCCCAAAGACATTCTTTAGACGTTGCTTTCTTGAAGGTCTGTCGGTGATAAACTCCACTGTCATTTCTCTGAATGTCTTCATTTCACCCTCATCCCTGAGCGATAACTCGCAAGCACAGTTTGAGGGGGACGGTTATTTTTATCAGTACTTCGAAGTTGACATTCCAGTCTTCTGACATCGACTGTGGCTGCTGCTAAGTCATCAGTTGCCACTGTAACTGTCATCCCTTCTAGGATAGCTTTCCTACCGGGCTGCTTTGGGGGTCTTACTGTGTGTCCGGTGCTCTGCGGTTTTCCCTTGTCCATTCGTTCTACCTGTTATGAAGCACTGACTGCAGGAGGCCCCGGGCGGCAGGCGTGGCCTATTAGGAACCGAGCCTTGCGGGAAGCTCGCCTGAGCCCCGCCTCCTGACCTACCCCCACCCCCACTCCGCCTGAGTTCTGCCTCTGGTCCCTCCCCCCAGCTCCGCCTCCTGCCCCACCCTCTACCCCACACCCCGCCGCCAATCCTGGGAAAAACCGGTTCCTGGTGCCAAAAAGCTGGGGACCGCTGACTTACTGGGTGCGGGCACTGTTCCAGGTGCTGAAAATACAGCAGCAGGTGAAACAAGTCCCATTGTGAGGGCTAGGAGCGTAGATTTCTTCTTACTCTGTTTGGTGATTATTTGGCGTCCGGGTCTGAAATTCGGTGTCAGTCTATTTTAGAACATTCTCTGCCATTTTTCTCCTGAGGGTCCCCCCCACCCTCTCCCATCGTGCCCCGCAGGAACTCTGACTACATTGATGTTGGGCCTTCTCACTCTATCCTTTATTTCTTAACGTCTCATAGTTTCTGCCTTTTTCTGGTACGTTCTGAGTCATTCCTTTCCATCTGTCTGCAAGACTACTGATTCTCCCTTCTGGCGTCCTCGACCAAGTCTCCTCTTTCTGGCTGTGTTTCCAGCTGTGACACAAGGAGGACCCAGGGTTGCCCTCAGTTTGTGCTCTGGGGATCCTACGTTAGAATGACAGTGGTGACATCCAGGGGACATGCTCCACCCACCTGCCTGTTTCACATACGGGGTGAGGTTTCTTTTGAACACAGGGTTTGAAATAAGATAAGACTTCCCAAACCCCTGGGCTAGGGAAGCGCTGAGCTTCCTTCCAATTCAGGTGTGTGGTTCTGCATGGAGATCCCCGAGATGATAATGTTTAAGAATAACCACCTGGTGACTCTGGTGACAGTCTCGGGAGCGGCAGGTGTGCGCACAAGCCCCCAGGCACCTGGAGAATGGCCCCTCGGGGTTCTGCTCTGGCCAGTGAGGAACCTCTCTGCTTTACTTCCCGACAGTTTTTTCAATCTTTTGAAAACTTGTAGAAAGCACTCAATAAATGCTTACAGAGTTAATAGTAAATGAGTAGATGGATGGATGGCCAGACAGCCTGGTGTTGGGATTCAGGACGCGCTACCCCCAAACACGGCACCGGGGCATATTGGTGCCTTCAGCTGAAGGGGTTTAAGAAAATCACAGAAGCAGGAAGGTCATTCCGACATCCACCCCCACCCCTTTCACTCTCCTTCCCTGAAACAGGTCACACACCTCTGATGAGAGAGGTCACCTCTCCTACCAAGAGAAAAGAAGACTTCTCATCACCGGAGATAGGGGATTATGGCCCAGAACTCTGTATAAACAAGCCTTGGGAAACTAAGCCTCATCTTCCTCCTTACTTCACCATCGACCACCCCTAGCTCAAATCCTTTAGTCTCGTCATTTCTTCCCAAGTTTGTTGTTTGTCTAAAAGTTATAAAAGCTTCCTGTTCTGGTCCCTTCGGGTCTTCAGTCTCTTGTGAAGTCTTGCAGGTACACATACAACTTCAATGAAAATGTGTACTTTCCTCCTGTTTATCTTTGTTAGTTTAATTTTCAGACCCAGCTGGGGACCCCCCCCAAGAGGATTGAGGAAAACTTTTTCCTTCCCTCCCTGTCTCTGAATACAGGTAATGAGAGCTTACATTTATTAAACATGTTGCTAATTTTCAGTCCTCATTAATTCCCAAGTTAGGCACTATTATCCCCATTTTTCGGATGAGGAAACTGAGACACGGTGAAGTGAAGAGACTCGTCCACAGCCAGTGACAGAGGGCAGCGGGACTGAAAGCAATGCCTGCTGGCTCCAGAGCTGGTCTGGAGGGAGGCTGTGAGAGCTGGGATTTCCAGACTGTTCTGGACACTCTGGGGGCTGGCCCAAGTGGGTGGGTAGGGCAGGGGCGTGAGGTGGGGATCTGTGGGCTCCACTGGCTCTGGTCTGGTTTTGGTCAACAGAGACAGTGACGGCCCTGGGGCAGTTACTCTGGCTTCCTCATCGGGAAGATTCGGCTTTGTGAAAACAAGAAATGCATTATCTGTGAACTACACAGGCCCTTTCAGCTCTCCCCCGCAGAAGACCAGAGGCAAGAAGAATTTGCTTCCTGTGGTTAAGTTTCTAGAATGTCAGACACCATAACCTATAAACTATTTCCCAGTCCATACGGAAGCTGGTGTTTAGAAAAAAAACAAACAAAAAACCCCAGTGGTGAGAAAGTCTGGTTGCAAGCCCCATTGTGGCCCACCTGAGACCAAGTTCCTGGCCTGGCCCTAACCCTGGCCTTCTTGCTGTCCTCCCCCTACCCCGGGTCGGTGGCAGCTCTGGCCCCCAGCTGTTCAGGCCCCAAACCTTGCAATCACTGAACCCTATCCGGCAGCTGCTGTGTGGGGGAAGGCAGTCTCCTGCAAGCTGTCTTCCAGCCCCAGGCTGCCTTGCCACCAAGGGCCTTGGGTGACACTTCCTCACCAATAGAGGGAGCCCACACAGCCTGTGCCCAGCCGGTCACCCTGAATGGCAGTCTTTCTGTAGCTCAACGCATGCTGTTTGTTCTGCTTAAGCATGGGTGCCACATGGCACCTGGCCAGCCCCGCTGCTGTGTCTTCCTCAGAGAGGGGGCAGGGCCCTTCCCCCTCAGCACGAGAGTAGCAGATGTTCCCAAGTCAGACGCTGGGGGCCGGTGCAGGGGGTCAGGGGTAGGGGAGGAGACCTGGGGGATGGACGCCCGCTGCTGAAGCTGATCTCGGCTGAGCGATGCATGGTCCACTCAGTGTGGCGTCTCCCCCTCGGCACCTCCACAACCGAGGCGCGATGGGTGCTAGGATCTGAGTCGGCCCCGGGACCAGAGCCGGGACCTGGTGTTCTGCGTCACGTGACTGCGTGTCATCGCCCCACCTGCACCTCCCAGCCCAAGTCACCAGCACTGTCCCTTCAGAGCAAGTCAGAGCGTGACCAACTCTGCCCTTCTCACTCAGTTCACGCCCAAGTCCTCAAAACAACCCGCTGACCTGCACCATCAGGCCCCTGCTGCCTCCCTGACCTCCTTCCCTCCCTGCCCCCAGCTCCAGACACCCTGGTGTGCGGGCGGCGCGCCCACAGGCTGTTTCCGGGTGGCCACAGCCATGGCTCTCAGCATCCCTCCCCAGAGGTCACGTTCTCTTCTCTTAGGGCTCTTGCCTCCCGACAGCGGCCTCTGAAAGTCTGCTCCCTGAGAACAAGCCCTGGAACTCACCCCGCAGCACCGGCACTGGCAGAGGCTCCGCTGCCCTGATGGGTGCAGCAGACGGGAGGACGGTGGGGGCTGTGCTCAGGGCCTTGACCTCTCCGTGCTGGGCACAAGCCGGGCTGGGCCAGACACCTGCGGCCAGTGCTCGATGCCCATCCCCACCGAAGTGGGGTGGGGTCCTGGCCAAGGAAGGGACCCTCAGAGCTTCTGCACAGGAAGCAGTTCCAGTCGGCTGTGCGGCCAAGACACAGGGCCCGCCAGGAAGAGGTTGCCTGTCACCTCCAGACCCAACCCCAGCACAGCTCGAGGAGCAACCCCACTACCAACTTGGCTGTCGTTTCGGGGCCTTTCCGCGGGCATCATCACCCCCAGGCAGGTGTTAGTTCTGGAAAGACACCGAGGTCAGAGAGGCTGCGCTGCCCGAGGGCACACAGCCAGCCAGCGGCGCAGCAAGACCCGCCCATTACCTGAGTCATGTGACCCAGAGAAACAGACCTCCCTGTGCCACACTGACAGCGTCCTCCTCTGCGGGGGCCTCGGCATGATGGGCCCCGCTGAGCGGGAGCCCCGGACTCCCCAGCCACGACAGAGCAGGCCCCTCAGCCCAGGCACCCCGGGCATTCACAGAACAAAGCCTCCCAGGAGTGGCAGGCCCGGGCCCCGCCCAGCGGGCATAGCGAACGCGGCTCCACACACACCCTGCTACAGAAATCCCCACACTTTAATGCCATGGCTCTGGGAAGAGCAGCGGGGGGCCGTGGTGGGCGTCGGGCATAGCAGGCACCTCCTGCCTCCAGCCCCGGGGTTCCCAGGACCCACTGACCAGGTAAGTGAGGAGCACAAGGACCTCACCCCGCTCTGACGGATGGTTCCTGGGGCCGAGCACAACTGGCAGCCCACAGGCCTTCTGCCGGAGGGCTGGACAAACTGAGAGGGAGGCCGCGGGCAGGGGCGTCTCCGGCCCCTAGAGGCTGGGCTCCACCAGCTTCAGGCACGGCGTGGCCTGGAGCCTGCCCGGAGCAGCCAAGGGTGGCAGTGAGGAAAGTGGCTGTGGTTTCCGCCCGGGACCAGTGGGGTACACGGAAGGGAGGGGAGGCCCTGGGGCCCTGGGGCCAGGCGTGTGTGCAGGTGCGTTCAGGCAACACCTGAGACAGGGAACGGGAGGACACGTTCCGCGACAGGTCCGAGGAGGGGACCAGGTGCAGCCCTGGGAGGGCGTCCAGGGCACGAGCAAGGCCAGCGGACCGGACCTCCCCTACAGTTCGTCACCCTGGCCCCTGAGCAGGGGCCAGGCGCAGCGGGGCTGGCTTCAGTACCCCTGCGGGCTGTGACCCTTGCCCTCCAGGTCTGCATAGCGGTCTGCAGGGGCCTCCGGCGAGTCGATGGTCTGGTAGGCGCTCTGCTCCTGCGAAGGCCCGAGGAGACCTGGGGGTGTGGGAGGGGGGGTGGAGAGAAAGGAAACACGGAGGGTGAGGGTGAGGGGCGGTCCACTGAACCCAAAGCAGGGCCCGCTCCACCCCCCACCAGGCAGGCCGGCAGGACAGCGACGGCGGCCACGGCCAGGGCACCAGGCCTTCCACGTGTGTATTCCACTCAATCGTCCCCCGACCCTACAGAATGGGCAGTTTTGCTGTCCCCACTCTACAGATGAGGACACTGAGGATCAAGGAGATGACCCGACCTGCCTGACATCACACAGCTCAAAGCTGAGGACTAGGATTCACACACAGGCAGCACGAGGCCGGGGCCTGGGCTCCCCTCCGGCCCCGGCCCCGGCCCCGGCCCCGGCCCCGGCCCCGGCCCCGGCCCAGGCAGGATGGACACGGTTACTCTGTCCAGTGGTTTTCAACCTTTTTCATTCATTGCATGGCACGCATAAGCTAATTATTAAAATTCTGCAGCACAACAGAAAAAATATTTTTTTGCAGATGGGACCAAAAAAAACACAAACAGGTATGCATTTGATTCATTCACACCCAATTGCTAGTGTTGTGTTGGCTATTGTTATCTTTTAATTTGACGATCTGAGGGAAAAGGGGTCAGCGCCCCTGACTAAATGGTCAGGTATTGCATATCGTGAAAATGCCTGTGGCGCACAGGCCGAAAGTCACCGCTCTGTCCGGAAGGCCAGCGCCCGGCCGCCGCAGAGCCCAGACAGCTGGGGCTGGGGCGCAAGGCGGGTGGTAGGGGTCTCGGTGCCCCCCCTCCACACTCTTGTCTACTCTGTTCATCTGTCCTGTGACCCTGAACAAGTCCCAGGGGCTCTGGGCCTCAGTTTTCCCATCTGTCCAATGGAGGGATATTACTGGCTCCCCTCCCACCCTGCCCCGCCCCGCTGGGCAGGCCCAGGCAGTGCTGAGGTCAGCCGGGGCAGGTGCGCCCTTGGCCCCGCTGCTCCCCCAGGTGGGTCACCACGGGTCACTCTAACCCTCTTCTCAGGAGTGAAAGGCAGCAGACCTCGCCCACCCCTCCCCACTTCTGTCTGAGAGAGTGGGGGAAGGAAATGAGCACAGGTGTCGGAGGGAGCGGGACACTGGGCCCACGGGAAGGGGTGCGACTCAGGGAGGGCAGTGAAGGGCAGGGCTGAGGTGAGAGGGCCGGTCGGCCATGGCGGCACCATCTCTCCCTCAGCCACCCGGACCCCAGGAGGCAGGCGAGGGGCTGTAGGGATGTGGTCTGTGGGAGCTGAGAGGCCCTGCAGGTGACCTCACTCCTCACACTGCAGACGGCCCAGAGCTGGGACTGGGGCACCACCCCCCCCGCCCCCGCTGCATCCGAGCCTGAGCTCAGCCTGGGATGGGAAAGGTCACGGCGGGCTGGGACGGCGGGAGACCGCGGAGCTCCTGCAGCAGAGACCTGGAGCCCACCTTGTGGCCTGGCGCTCCGTGCTCGAGCCCAGCCCCTCCCTGCACCTTGTCTCCCCGGTGTGGGGGCTGTGGGTGAGGTGAGGAGACGAAGGAGACCTGGGGAGAGGGCAGGGCCAGCACCTGGCCAGCGAGAGGGGGCTGGGAGCTGGCCGGAGGGGCGCCTCACCGGTGTGCAGCGGGAGCGTGCCCCCACGCTCCCTGTACATGTGGTAGACCAGGCAGCAGGAGAACGGCTTGAGGAGCAGGCTGAGGATGGCCATGCCGGCGCCGAAGCGGGCCGTGTCAGTGATGTCGGGCCGCGGGTAGAAGATGCTTATGTGGACGATGTCCAGGAAGATGGTGACCGCCAGTCCACCCAGAAACTGCAAGACAGGACAACAGCACAGGGGCCAGGCGTGACCGCGTGTCATCCATTTATGAGCACTGTGACGCCCTATCACGTCCCTATCGTTGCCCCCACCTCCACCGTGCATAGCCCAGAAGCTGCATCCACGCCCTGTCCGTAGGGTTTGCTGGAAAGCGGCCTCAGTGAGCAGGTAGGACCTTGTGGCTAAGGTTCCCAAGGGGACGACAGGGCCAGAGCAGGGACTCGGGGGTCCCTGAGGTCCCGAGCCAGCCTGCCAGCTCCACAACAGCCCCCGCTGCCTCTCCTGTCACCACCGTTGAGGTCATGCTGAGGCACAAGATTTGGTTTTAGAACCTCCAAGATGGAAGGTGCCTCGGAGTTCGCCCACTGTTTCCACCACTGAGGAAACCCCTCCCCTGTGAGGCACCAGCCATCGCCCTCCAAGGGCTCTGTGGGTATTGCGAAGCCCCCGAGGGGGCACTCGGTGGGGCTGTGTGCACTCTGACCTCACGGAGCAGTGGAGCTTCCTCTTCGTGGGCGCCCCGGCCAAGTCCCTCCCTCCTAAGAGGGTTCTGGGGGGTGATTTAGGAGTTCGTGTTCTGCCACTCTCCAGGCGTGGCCAGTCTGGGCCACTGGGGGGACCCACCCCATGCCTTTCCGGGGAGAGGCAGGGAGAGACTCCAGGCTGTCGGGCCAGGCAAGCAGAGGCAGGCCAGGCTAGTGAACACACACGCTCGTGGGCTGCACAGGCGGGCTGCCCTGCAAGGCTTGTAGGAAGTGGAAAATGGGCACGAGGAACAGGCAGAAGAGGGGGACAGGCGAGGGGAGGCCGGAGCAGGTCCCCACGCTGCTTCCCCAGCTCACCATGCTTATGGCGTCAATGGAATCCCGCTGGGCGACGGCCCACACTCCCACGGCCAGGATGGTGAAGTTGGCCCAGGCATACGAGCCGAAGAACGTGAGGCAGCCCCTGCAGGAGGATGCACCTGAGTCAGGTTAGCAGGTGACGGCCCCACCGGTGCCCACCCCCTCCCACAGGTCACCTCCCTCGCGCTCCAGGGTCTGAGAAGAGGTCACCGTCTGCCAGGCCACTTGTTGCCCAGCTGTGAGCCCGGAACCTCAGCAAATTCTATGGCACCACCTGCTCCTGCCAGGATTTACCAGACCCGCATCCCCACTGGTCTCACTCCCACTGCTGCCCCCTCCAGGCCATTCTCAGAATGGCAACTAGTAATACTAATCCCAGCATATCAGTCCTCTGCTGAAAGTCCTCCAACGATTTTCTGTCCCACTTGAAATAAAATAGACTCTGCCCCATGGTCCAAGGGGCCCTGTGGGCGCTGCTGGTGACACAGCCCCCCTTTATGTCCCTCTACCGGGAACACCTGGCCCCTTTTTGTCATTTTAGTTTCAGCTCAAATGTTAACTCCAGGACTCCTTCCCTGACTGCCCCATTTTAAATGCTGCCTTGTCCCTTTCTGCCATGAGGCCCACTCTGTTTTACTCTTTAGGGCACGGCAACTAACCAATAGGTTTACTCATTTACTTATCAGTATCTGGTACATTCCTGAATGTTTTGCATTAACTCATTCACATGCATCTGTGTTACCAACTCTAGGAAGGAGGCATTATTATCCTTATATTTTATGAGGAAACTGAGGCACAGAGAGGTCAAGTAACCTGCCCAAGATCCCACAACTGCTAAGTGGCGGATCTGGGATTTGAACCCAGGTCATCAGGCTCCAGAGGCCATGCTCTTATTCAGCATTTCCACTGGGCCTCGACGGCCCGGCATGCAGTGAGGCCCTTTGTAAATGCAACAACGACATTCGCTAAAGTGTTCCACATGGAAAACACGTGCAAAGCAGTTGAGCGTGGCATGCAGCCGGGCTCAGCAGTCTTGGAGGGTTTTCAGGAAGCGGGTGCTGGGCTGCGGCCCAGACTCACTAACTTGGGATCTAGGGGAGTGTGACTGAGAAACCTGTACTTGACCTTGCCACCCTGGGTGAGGGCTCAAAGCTCCTAGGAGGCGGTGACGGCAAAGGCCTCTGGGAGGGAACTGCCTGCCCCTCCAGAGTTCCTGGGACGTGGGGAGCCTGCTGATGATCTGCTGGACAGAAGTGCTGTTTGGTCTTGGGAGTGGCTGGGAGATAGGTGGACACGGAGGTGGACACTGGGAGTCACTTACCAGGTCGTCAGCAGCCAGTGCACCAGGATGATCATCTGCAGCACGAAATGGGGGCGGGGGAGAGATCTGTGAGTGTGACCGCCATGGGAGTGGGGGAGCCAGAAAACACAGGAGACCCTTCCCTAGCTCCTAAGTAAGAGGGCTGTTGCACAGGCATCTGCTGTAAAACACCCGCGGTGGCACGAGAACCCGGCTGGAGGAGGAGGCACGGGCCGGGCCAGGCCAGGGGACGCTGCCACAGCAGACACCCACACTCTTCTTGCTCCCTCGGCCAGAGGCTCCTCTGGGGAGCGGGGATCTGCCCTGGAAGGGGAGGAGACCCCGATTTCAGTTCGCCAATGCAAGTGGACCAAAAGGGGTCTGAGGCCCCAAAATTCGGAAGACCAGGAAAATAATTCTGTAAGGACCAATGAGACTGATGTCAGGGAGGTCCTGAGACTGTGAAAAGGTCGCGTCTGTACATCACAGGCCAGCTCCAGAAGGAATCTGCGCGATCATCTACCTTTGTATATTTGTGAGCACTTCCTGTGTGTCAGGTGCGTTCTAGGTACGTCCTGTATAGGAACTCATTTCATCCTCACAACCCTCTGGGGTGCATTCTAGAGCTGAGAACGCTGAGGCTCAGAGGCAAGTAACTCGCTCACGGTCAAAGACCTGGACAGCGGCAGAGCCAGGACTCAAACCATCAGCCTCTCGGGGCCTGTGTGAATGTGCTCACCCCATCACAAAGATGGGGAAACGGAAGCAGGGAAGGCTTCGTCTTCCATGGGTGTCTTCTCCCAGAGGCTTAAGAGAAGCGACCAGAGGGTTCTCAGTTTCTCAAATATTTACTGGTTTAACCCGACACCCCTGATAGCCGCTTGGTGGCTGCGCTGCCCTGCCCTGCCCTGCCCTGCCCTGCGGAGACGGCGTGCACAGCAGAGGTGGCACCGTACGGCCCTCCCCGGCTGGAGACACTCGCTAATCCTACAACCACCCGAGGAACCACAGCCGCCTGAGGAACGAGGGATCCAGTGACACCCCCGTCCTGAAGGAAAGTTACAACCAAGGAAGAGAAACCTCATTCGACGACAGGGCCACCGAGATGAAAATGGTGAGCAGGGGGTTAAGTAGGGGCAGAGAGGAGAGAACATTTTGAACGGAAGGGACCTCAGCTGCTCTGTGGGCATTCTGGAAACTGAACAGCAGCCTGTGTGACTGCAGCAGAAGATAAGAGGAGAGTGGGGGAGGGGCAGGAATCGGGGTGTGGGCAGGGCTGGGCCTGCGTGGGGGAAGAACCTGATCTTTATCTGAAGAGCAGACCGCTGTCCCCTCTAACAGGCGGGAGGGGACCTGCCATGCCATGTGGCCGGCCACAGCGGTCCCGGTGTCCGGCTTTTAGACTCAGACGCGGAGAGAGGAGGCACGGGGGTGGCAGCTCGCACCCCATCGTCCCCCTGAAAATCAGAACCAGGCCTCATCCGCCAGGGCTCTGGCTGCTCCGTCCAGGCTGTGTGCAGCGCAGCTGTTTCCCACGTGGCCCTGCAGAGCCCGGCCCTACTGCGGCGAGGCCAACGGCTGGGACCTGGGACGCAGGAGAGCAGCGGATCTGCAGGGGGACTCCCGGGGGGAGGTCACTTACTATTACCCGTGAGATAAAGACATTTCCGAGAGACAGAGCGAGAACCTGGCTAAGGTCTGAAACAACACCATCCCTTTGGGGAAGAAAAGGGAATAACCTGGAAACAGGGCAGATCCTCCAAAGGCATCCAGTCCCCCCGTGAACATTGCTTTTGTTTTATACATATTTATGAGAGGTAGCACTACCCTATCACCTCTCTTAAGCCCTTGGGAAAAGAAGCCCACTGAAGACTAGCCTCCTCTTCCTCAGTTTCCCCGTCTTTGGAAGGCGGGGCACACACCCCCAGGCCCACATCCAGGTGAGCTCCAACAAGAAATTTGGCCAAACCGGCCCCGCCCTTCCCCCAGCTCAGGAGAACGGTGACTCATCTCAGCACAAAACAACGTCTGTGGGCTCTGGGGAAGGCTTCCGGTCACCGGTCACCGGTCACCGAGGGGACACCTGGGATTCTCGGGCACCACCCCAGAGAATGCGGGAGGGAGGGGAGGGGATCTGAGAATGTGTCCAGGGAAGGAGGAAAGACAGACCTGAGCTCCTGGACTCCCTGAACAGTGCTCGCCCAGGGGGGCTGCCCAGCTCTTTCCCGGATGGCGTCTGCACTGTGTCGGCAGCCGTGAGGGGAGAGGGTCAAATGGCCAAGGAGGCGGGGGTTGTGGGATGCTGGATTAGGCACAGGAGCCCCGGGTTCCGGTCCAAGGACCAGGTCCCTTTGCGTCTGAGCCCCAGGTGCCTTCCTTCCCTGTGAAATGGAGGCAATGCCTGTCGCCCATGCATCCCACGGGGGTGCCTCCACCGCAGGCAGGCAGGCGGGCATCTGGATGGTCCCTGTATGTATCCACTTGACAAGCACACACGCCTGTGTGCGACAGGCGTCCTGTACCAGCATCAGCAAGAACAACTCCTGCTCCCGATGAGGATCCGCCCGCCATGTGTCTGCACTGCCCTGAACACCGAACCCTCGCCACTCACGCAACTCCGTGGAGGAGAGCATTAATCCCGCTGAACTTGTGAGGAAACGGAGGCTGTGGGAGATCAGGCAAACTGGCCCAGACCGGAACACTCATAAATAATAGAGCGCAGATGCCAATCTCAGAGTTGGCCTATCCAGGCCGGGTCTTCCAGCCAACAAACACGTAATGCTGCACCACCTCCAGGACCACGGGATCCTCCTCTTATCGCCCCAGAAGACAGGGGCTATCTTTATCCTCTTTTCACAGTGAGGCAACTGATACTCAGAGAGCTAAGAAACCTGCTCAAGGTCACACGGCTAACAAGTAGCCAAGTCTGGCCTTGACTGCCGGCCTGGGCCCACGGCCTGTGCAACTGTCAGGACCTGGGGAAGCAAGGGAAGGGCGGATGGACATGGGGTTGGACCCGAGGAAGGGAAGGCTGAGGGGAAACTAAGCAGGCATGTGGACGGGGACGTAGGCCCTCTGTGTGCCACCAGAGGGCCCGTGGGGGGCTGGGGTGGGGGCGGAGAACCTCCGATCAACACACGTCGATGGGTGGGCTATATCCCTGCCAGCCCCTGGTCCAAACACGACCCGTTCCGTGAGGCAGCACGATCCCCGAGGGCGGCTGAGGCTAAGGGCCACCAGTCACGGCTGCCTTAGTGGGGAGACAGAACCAGCCAAATAGGTGGGTCGGATCCTGGACTCAAGACCAGGAAGCTGTGTGACCTTGGGCAAGTCACCTGACCTCTCAGAGCTGCTGTGTGCTCCCGTTTCTCAGGGCTGTTGAGTGGATCTAGTGGTATGGAAGCGGGGCAGCGGGGGGGGGGGGGCAGCGTTGAAGAGGGGTCTGAGACACTCAGCGAAGTGCCTACCAGGTAGTCGGCCCTTCCTACCCAGCTGTCCTGAGCTCTTAACTCAGACTGCACCCCCCCCCACCCCTCCCCAGGGCCTCTTCCAGCAAGGCCTCCTGGACCCAAGTCTAGTCGTTTCTAAGCTTGTCTCAACGTCACTCCTCCCACCCAGGACTTGCCTCAGGACAGGGCTCCGTGAGAGACCACCCTTCGAGCAAAGGGCCCGGGGCAGCGGTTTCTTCTCATCTGGCCCCACTGCCCACCTGGCCGGGCAAAAGCAGGCCTGCGGCCAATGCCCAAGGAAGGTGAGAAACCGGGAGTGCGGAGGTGCGGGGGCTCGGGGCGCACTTCCCCGGCTCCCGCGGGGCCTGACCTCACAACATCCCACTCAGTGCCTGCGAACAAGGAATCCGCCGCTGCCCTCCACAGGGTGGCCAGGTTCAACAACGAAAACACAGAACACCTAGGTACCTTTTAACTTCAGATCCTGAATTTTTTGTTAGTATGTCCCAAATATTGCCTGGAATAGACTTATGCTAAAAAAAGAAATCACTCATTGTTGACCTGAAACTCAAATTCCGCTGGAGGTCCATCGTGTCCTGTCCATCTGTCCATCACCTCCTGTGTGTCACCCGGCAACCCCAGCCCCTCAGAGACTCCCAGCACTGAGTGGCCTCTGACTAGTGGCAGCAAAGACCCTTAGAGACAAGGGGTCTTATTTCCCAAGTCAAGGGTAGGATCAGCCTTTTCATTCGGGGCCCCCAAAGCCAGCGCAGCTCACATGTGCGGTGGCACCTGGCTGGCAGGCCTGGACAGACTGAGTCCTCCTGATGGACATAAACGGCCGAGGCCGACGCCGGCCCTCCCTACCTGGCGGTGGCCAGGAAAGGTCACAGCTTTGAAGTCTGACCGGGCGGGTTCGGGTCCCGGCTCTGCCACTGAATCCCTACGGGCCCTCGGCAAGTTGTTCACCCGATCTGGGCTGCAGTTTGCTCGTCCGTAAAAAGATGACGGTATCGGCTTTCTCGGAAGGCTGCTGTGATTAAATAGCTAACCTGGCATACCACAGATGCCCCTTCAACTCCGGCCCCTCTGTCCGTCACCTCGTTTTCTCTTAGCATTATTTTGGGCAAATCCCCAATCCGAGAAAAGGCAGCTGGCGTTAACCTCACACTGCCTGAAACAGCATGCGTACCGATGCCTACAAACCTCAGCTGCCCTCGTGTACTTTCCTCCCAGCTAACACCTCCCAGCGGTGTGCCCAGGGGAGTGTGCTTACAAGATCGGCCAGTGTGAAGTCAGAGCACAGAACACGTCTCGTGACCCAAACATGGATGCTGTGTTGTTTGTAGTCATTTATCCCTTGGGCTCCTTTGGTGCCAGACACCGCTGGCTGCTAAATGCTTTGTCACTTGTGAGTCTTCCCGGACACAGGTCTCAAAGGAGTCTGCACCAGTACCCAACATGACAGGTTTGGTCCAAGGTTCACAGCCTCCCGATCAAAAGCTACAGGCTCTGCCCCCCACCACACGGAGCACAGCAGGCTGGCGGCGGGGGAGCCGGCTGGGGGCGGAGGGCAGGCAGAAAAAGCTCAGTCAAGGGCACCCTGCAGAGCTGGGGACGAGGCTCAGGAAATGAAGACACCCCAGGAAGCCCGGCAGTTTTCGTAAGTGCGCAAAGTTGGGGTTTTCTGCTTTCAAGCAATTTCTACCCGAGTTCATGTTCCTTAGGAAATAACTACGCTGGGCTTATAGATTTTGGAAAAACTGCTTGTCTGGGAAATCTAATTTTCGTAACCTGGCTTAGCAAGCAAAGCAGGGTACCAGGCGGTGCTGGGGGGACAGGTGAAAGGTCTAGCCCCACCCCCATCTCTGTAGGTGAGGGGAGGTGTCCCGCCTCCAAGTCCCGTCCCGGGCTCTCCGTGGGCCCCTCCCCCGCGCCTTCCTCTTTCTCCAGGGGAATTCTGGGCGTGTAGGGCAGAACGCTCCCAGCTGGAGGGGGCTGGCTCCGGGAACGGCGGCCCTTTCCCTCCCCCTTCCGCCTCCAGTCCCGTCTCGGTCTTCCCTGAAGACCTTTCCCTGAACCCCGCTCCCTGTCCTGGTCTGTCTGCCCACCTCCTTCTCACCTGAGGCTGCACATTCCCTTCCTCCCTACCTCTCCTCTCTCGCCCCCGGTTGGCCCTCTCACTTCTAATACCCCATTGAAAAAAGCGAACGCCCCCCGCCCACTCGGGAGACCCGCTCCGCGCGCGCCCGCCTGCGGCGTGGCCACCCCCGCCCCGCCACGCCCGTCGCCACCTTCAGGTTCACGACGGGCAGCTCCATCCCGACCTAGGACGAAGGCACCGGCGCGACAGCCGCGGCGGCTCCCGGCCTGCAAACTCCGAATGAAAACTTGCCAGCCCCACCCCGCCCGCCCGCAGCTCCGGGTCCAACCCCAGCTCAACCCCCGGCCACGTGAGTCGGGTCACGGGATCGCTGCCGAGTTGCTAGGAGACGGCGTCGGGCTGCCCGCGCTTGCTCTGAGCTCCCAGCTCCTGCCACTCACTGCTCAGGCAGCTGCCCGGGGCGCCTGGAGACCGGCAGGACTCCTGTCGCAAAGGGCGCACTATCTTGCCTGGTTAATATTCCAACAGGTGGACTGATGGGACCACCTGCTGCCGGGAGAACCCGGGGGGGATGTCCAGGTGCAAACTGCGGATGTGGCAACAACTGGTGTCTCATTTCTTAGGGCATCCTCTCTCCTCCCTACTTCCCCGTGTTAAGGAGGAGACCTTTACAGGACCTGCCTCATAGGATCCTTGCGAGGATAAATGGCCGAATTCATGTTGTCGAAGAAAAATTATTTTGACACTTGTTAAAATGGCCAGGAAGGCTTTATTCCAGACTCTTGCTACAGGGATATTGCAAGAGGGGAGGGAAAACAAGCTTAATTGTGAACACAGCAAGGACAAGTGCGGTTCCTAGCGAAGCAGCAGAGTGAGGGGTCAGTGGATGGAAAGTTCCTGAGAGGAGACGTCAAGGGTGGGTAGGATTCTGCTGACCTGACCTGACCCGATTCCTGCTAAAAGGCAGGCCGGGGACTCAGACATCATAAGTGTGTGTGTGTTTGGGGGGGGGGTGCTTGATCAGACACCAAGGGGGATCCGATATCAAGGTCAGGGTTCCCGCTCAAACTGGGCTATGTGGGCCCAGCGAGAGCAGGATGGACACAGAGGCCAGGCTGAGCCACACTGGCCTCAAGGAGAGGGCTCCAAGGAGCCAAACTCAAGTTTGGTCAAGGACAGAGTTTCTGTCGAGGCCAAGCCCCTGGCACTCGGCGAATGGACAGTACACACACAATCGCGTTACGATCCGCACGCAAGGGGGCCAGTGGTTGGTGCCCACCTGAGTTAAGACGCTAAAAGCTTGAGAAAACCTGGCGGGAAGGCCACCAGAAAACCTGTTAGATGCGTCTGCCTCCGGAAGGAAGAAGACTGGGGGAGACAGGTCCTGTCAACATCCTGTTTGTCCCTTAACCGAGAATAGAAGAAGTTGAGGAAAGAAAAGTCTCTCTCACCAGGCATCTCAAAGACTGCTGACCCCCCCAAACGGGAACACCAGTTCCTGCGACCTCCATCCTCCTCCCCACCCCCTCCTTCACCCATGACCCGAGAAAACCTCTGCATGCAGAACACCAGCTTTCCTTTGGAGTCCCCTGGGGTGGGAGTCCCCCGAGGTGGGAGTCCCCTGGGGTAACCGTCCCCCGGGCCCATCTGAGAACTTGCTCTTGTTTCCAGGAAGGGGGGATCTCTGTGGGAACCTGCGAAACTTCCTGGGTCGTCCTGAGATCGTAACAAGACACAAGCTCTCTTCAGATACAAAGAGGGGGTTTTCCCGGAAGGGCATGGGGACTTCTGCAGGGCCTGCGGGCCGAATCTCATGCCCCACGTGGAGATCTAGTCCTGCCCGGGGCAGAGCAGTGCAGCCCCTGCCCTTATAGCCAAGGATGGTGAGCTGAAGAGAGCGGCCACATGGCTACACCAAGCTGGACTTTTCGGGATTTAGAGCACAGGGGAGCAGGTGTAGACGGGACAAGAGTGTGAGTCAACAGGTGGCTTTGTCCACTTACTGTCCGGACTTGGACAAACTGCTTTGCCTCCCTGTGCTTCAGTTTTCTCGTCTGTACAATGAGGGTGATAACAGTATCCTCCCCCAAGTTAGGATTTCCCACACATGAAAAACACGGTGAACGGTGCTTGGCAGACGAAATCAGGATCGGCTAGATTTTCTTACCATCGACGGTTAGTTAATTATTGTGAATTACTGTTGTCGGCAGAGTACCTAGAAAAGAGTGAGTCCTCAATAAGTGGTGGGTATGATAACACTGTTATTAGATTGTTATTGATCAGTTTCCTTCTAAGAAATATCCCCCAGGTACTCTAAATCCTAGAGGCATTTTGCCTGAGCCTGTAGGTCTGTAACAAGACCGTGGTCACCTTGTCAGGAGAAAATGCAAAACGAGCAACTCCGGGATGAGAGCTGACATTCGTTAAGTGCTCATTTTGTGGCAGGCGGTGTGAGAGGCGCTCAGGGGAACCGCTGACTACCGCCCCGAGCTGCAGGTATCAGTCTTAACCAGAGTAAAACCAGTAAGGGGGCCGAGGTTAGGAGGAGTCAGGAGGCGCGCCCAAAGTCACATCGCTGACTATACAAAACTGGGCTGGGACCCCAGGAGGTCCGGCTCCAGGGTCCTGACATTCAGCCGCTCAGCTCCGCTGCCCACATTCAAGGGCAATGCTGCCCAGGCTGAGACGGAGAAGACAGATCGGAGCCGGATGAAAGACAAGGCCGGTCTGTGTGATATCTCTGCAGCTCACACTGTGACACTGCATTCATCCTGACCAGCTGGGGTTGGGGGGGACAGACCCAGCTGGCCGGGGTGGGGAGGGAGCCCAGGGGGACAAAGGAAAGTGAAACTCTTCTCAACAATCACCAGTCCCTGCTACGACCCAGTCACGACTAAGGAAGGACAAGTGGACCCCCCAAAAAGCACACCCCACAAGATTGTTTGCGGGGAGGTCCTACATTTAGCGAGTACACTTTTGGAAGTCGAGTTTAAGTTTTTCATGTCCCTCATCAGTCCCGTCTGTCTCAGCCACGTTTTATCTCAGTACCTTCAACAAAGAAACTGACCTGCAGAATAGGTTCATTCATTTCTTCAGACAACAGCTACTGAACACCTACTTGGGTGAATATCTAACTGAGGAGGAACTTGATCCCACGATGGGGTTATATGGAGCCTTTTAAGAAACTGTCCCCCTGGCTGGCATAGCTCAGTGGATTGAGCACGGGCTGCGAATCAAAGTGCTGCAGGTTCGATTCCCAGCCAGGGCACATGCCTGGGTTGCAGGCCATGACCCCCAGCAACCACACATTCATGTTTCTCTCTCTCTCTTTCTCTCTCCCTTCCCTCTCTAAAAAGAAATAAATAAGTCTTAAAAAAAAAAGAAAGAAACTGTCCGATGATTGTCCAGGTTGTTTGTACCATCCTATTTTATTTTCTTTGTAGCACTTACCAATATCTGAAGGTATTGCCCTATCGATTCACTTGTTTCCTTGTTCATTGTCTGACCACTGCCCCCCCCACCAAGGAGTCTGCAACTCCTAAGAGGGTCTTGCCACCTTGACACTTGCCTGGCACATAGTAGGTGTTCAGGGGATGGACGGACACCCACCCATGGGACACATCTGTGTGTGCCACCTCCTCTCTCACAGGCGCCTGGAAGACCTGTCACCCAGCTCCCCGTTTGTCCTCAGGGTGCTGCTGGCAGTCCAGGCTCTGGCCTGGAAGTCACTTGGTCAGTGCCGCCGGTTATGAAAGTGGCTGATGAAGCAACCACAGCCATTTCCTTCCGACAGCTGCTTGTGTCCTTTAAAGGTATTTTTTTTTTGGTCCCTGCTTGCCGCCGCCGCCCCCCCCCAGCAGAGTGATCTTGGGCAAGTTACTTAGCCTCAGGGTGATTTGGGGAAATCACGTGAGATAATTACACAGCCTGCCTGGCGCAGCTCTTGGCCCTTTGTAAATGCCCAGTGAGTCAGCAGCTGCCCTGCTGCGATGGCAAAATGCAGCACCTGTCAGCGTCTCTTGGCACCTCCTTGGCCCACCATAAACACCAGGATGGAAGCAGCAAAAAAAGTCCCCTTCGATGCAGAGAAGACTCCACCCATTCGTGGAGAGCTGCCCAGCCCCGACCCCCGCCAACCCACTTTGCATCTAGAAAATGGGGACAGTAATGGTCAACCTCGGGGCTGTGTCAGGCACAAAGGAGGCATTGAATATGAAAGGCTGTGACATGATTTCCAGCTGTCCTCCGGTCCTCAAAGTTCTGGACATCCAACAGTTCTGACATGGGCTGGCCACCTCCTTTTGCCCCAGCAGGTAAAGCAAACTGGAACAGAGAGAATAAGCAAGACGCCGTCTGCAAAGCACATGCTCCTGTGAGAAAGCAGGGCCCTCCACATCCGAGAAGGGTCTGGAGGGCAGAGTGTGGCTCTCGGTGGCCCAGGCAGCGTCACGGGGATTTGGTCTGGAGACCTGTCCTCCCGTGTTTCTTCTCGGTTTGTCACACACGCACCGGCCGGCACCGAGCTCCCTCGCCTCGGCTCCGGCAGAGCGGGGGAACGAAGCCCCGGCGTCGTGTGTGGCTCGTACTCCGGGTCTATGGACGGGCTCGTCTCGCTCCGAAGCCCGCAGCGGGAAACGGGCAGTGGGAAATGGGGCAGAAGAGCAGGAACAGGAAGAACAGAGCCCTGTGGACGGGGGTCAGGGTGCCTCTTCTGGGCTCCCAGACTCCACCCCGCTGTCCTTTGGCCCAGGTTCTGGCTGATGCCAAGGTTCTAAAAGTATCAAACGCCACTATGATTCATTAGTAGAATCGCTGTGTCCCTACAGCCGTTCATTCACTCAAAGTGGGAAGGGGGCGTGACCCTGGGGGAAGCACGTGGCTGGAGGGAGGCCTGGGGGGCCGAGTCTGTGGCGTCCCTCTTCCTGGAGGGGGCTGGGCACTGCTGGGAGGTGTGAGAGGCCCTTCTCCAGAGGAGACGCTTGTTTTTTGGACTAACCAAAACGAAGGGGGGCTGATTCAGAACTATTTGCCCCAACGGCACAGACTTCAGACTTCCAGCAGCCTCCATCGCTGACTTTTATAGGCCCAGCCAGGCTCCTGGAATGCTCAACCTTGAACCTTAAAATGCAGCCAGTAATGTCTAATGTTCCTATTGTTTCCCCAGCTGGTCGGGGTCCTATGCAAATTACTACTGGGTGAGCCCCTTCCTGGCGAGTCCTCACCCAACCCTTAGCCACGTCGCTCTGGCCCTCCACAGACCCGGGCGCCCACGCCGGGCACCAGAGAACCCGTCGGAATGCCCT